GTTTATGTTTATATAAGTTCCCACTTTTTCAAAAACTCGTTTATTTCGGTGTCCATTAAACTTGAACTATTTCTTTGTCATAATGTGACCTTGTTTGGCATTATAATTGTTTAAAATTGATAAATGTGATGATGAAGGAACTGAGAATATTGTATCATCTACCACATGGATTGTTACTTATCGAAACGGGTCTAGGAATTTTTTATATTTTTACAGACAATCAGCATAATTTGCGTATGAACAAAATTTATATCGCTATCGCGGTCTTTTTTTTTGTACGTATACGATATTTTGAATTTCTGGTCAAGGAATCAGTCAACCGCTTTTAATTTTTAGAATTAAATATTTCTTCAGTTATTCCTTTATCAAGCACTCCCTCCGCTCTTATCAAATCAAATTGGTGACAAAAGTGGTCTTTATCAAACTTGTTGCATTAACGGCTAAAGTTGGATATTAAAATAAAAAAGTTGTTAACAAGTAAACTTGACATTGTACATTGAATTATGCTATTTATATGTTAAAGAATTCATTAAATTGCATCCAGTTGACGACTACTTTAAAAAATTGATGAATATTATTGACCCACGTTTTATCTGTTTGTTTGTTCTTGGGTTGCAACAGCAATCTAAAAAGATGAGAGTTCGAAGAAATAATTTAATGACATTCAACAGTATGCTATCATTGATTCAAATGGGACAGGTGTTGTGTATAAACAGCGCTAAACATTTTACGGGAAGATTTTAAGGTAGGCAGTTCTTCCTCGCGTATTATTCATTTTTGTAGACGAATTAGTAAACAATATACGAAGTGATACTGTGTTGTCACGCGTCATTTAACGTGCGGGTCTGTGTGCTTGTGACTTAATTAGTTTATTAGGGGGTGTATTTTTGAAAGTTGAATTGTGCACGTTTCGACGAAATGTGATTTTATGTCTATTATATAAGCTTTAATGACAATAATTTCAAAAGCATTTTTTTTAATACGTAATCATAAAAATGCTGAATTTGAAAATATTCATAAATCGCTCGGTTAGAAGAACATTATCATACTAAATCTATTGCAACCGTATTTAATTAATTGCCATATTATGAGAGTAAATGACCGCGACAAAAAAATTAAATGTGTGAATAAATAAAGCGAAATTTTTAATCATTCACATTTACTTTCTATTTAACACTTTAGTTGTACAATTATTTCTGTCTCACGTTTCAGGTTGTAGAATTGAGGAATCTGCTTCGGTAATTGCTCGGGTAAATGGTATGTGTAAAAAGTTGTAATTTCATACATATACATCAAGTTTTCAGAAGGAAAGTTAAGTCCTAAAAGTGTTAACTTTTGTGCTGTAGTTCGTTTTAGGAAAATTAGCATTTATGTATAGCTTTTTGCCACTCTAGGTTTGGCCTGCCTCGTTTTCTTTTACTTGTTGGTTCCCAGTGGAGTATCCCTTTTCCACGTGTCCATACAGGTAAGGTGTTTTTTCTCAACCATTTTCTTATGTCTATCTTTTATGTTTACTTTTCACTTTACTTTTTTTGCTATTTACCATTGCTACATAGATATTAAATTTCCGTTTCTTGGATATTTCTTTGCTCCATAGGATTCCATTCAGAGCTTCTATTACTTTTTTGGCTTTGACTATTCGTTTTTCTATTTCTTTTGCATCTGTTCCAGTGTTGTCGAATGTGATGCCCAGATATTCATATTCCTGACATTGAAGGATTTCTTGGCCATTGCCTAATTCCAAATTTCAGTCCTGAGTTCCCACACATGCTATGTCGACTATCAAGCCCCATTCTTTATACTCCTCTATTAGTTTTCGAATCATATATTGCATATCATCTTTCATCATTGGCTACTATGACTTGGTCGTCTGCGAACTGAAGAGTAAACAAGCATCCACCATCAATTTCTATTCCCATGCCCTGGACCTTTCTTTTCCATTTTTTTAGTGCCATTGCCACATATATTTTAAAAAAGGTGGGGGAGACACAGCATCCCTGACGTAGTCCTTTGTTCACCATGAACTCCTCCGTAATGCATTGGCCGACCCTTATTCTGGATTTTGATTCCCTATATAGTTCTTTAAGTGCTGCTCTGTAGGTTTGATTAATGTTGGAATGCTCTAAGACCCTCTATAGCTTTATTACTGGGACTGTCAAAGTTGTATTTTGGTGTAACAACTGTCTCCGTGGATGTCACGTTATTGTTTTGAACTCCCTGAAGGTTTCTAGTTTTTCGAAAATGAAGGCTTATCTTGGTTTTCACCAAGTAGTGATCTGATCCGCAGGTGCTCCCTCTCAGGACTCTCACATCGTTAATTTGCAAATTTGTTTTCTGTCGACTAATCACGTAGTCAATGATGGATTTAAGATTTCGAGTACTGTGTGCCCATGTATAGCGATTGATATTTTTATGTTTAACCATTTTTGATTTTTAGGCTGTGGGTCTCGCAAAGATCAATTAGTCTTTCACCGTTATCATTGATTGTTTTTTCTCCATACGGTCCCACGATTGGACTATTTTGGTGTTTAATAACTTAATAGGTATGTTTATGGAATTTAGCACGCTCCATCTGAACATCAACAGTCATTTTTTAACGTAAAATAATTTTTGACCATTATGGCGTCCGTATAGAATCTGCTCTGCCTTTGTGGTGAAATTGAAGTTTCATAAGCCATACTGCTGCTGTTATGTAAAAAAAACTCAATATCGAATGGACATAGAAAAAGTCTAGTATGTAACACGTTTCTAAACTTCTTCAGACATTCGTTTATTAAACACTAGACCGCTCGTGCCAAATAAAATTCACCACTCGTTTATCAAACTTGTTGCACAATATACTATTTGGTGCACAGCAATTAGGGACCTGTTATTTCTATTTGGAAAAAGTGGATGGTTATTAACAACTACCCGACATGAAGTTCCAAGAGTCTCATTTTTATCACTATCCTCCTCACCAACAATTTTTTCATTCAAACTTATTGGCAATTTCCTACATATAATGGGGTACATAAATTCTTCTTATCTAAGCGGACATCATTTAATTTCTGTGAAATTGTTTAATTTGATTTTTTTTATATCTATTTTAGGACGACGTTTGATCATATCGCGTTTAATTTGAAGGAATTAGTAAATTAAAAATCATGAGAAACTGCACATTCGATTTTATTTATTATCTCCCAAATTATTGTGAGTCTTATCTTTCACCACTTGAAAGTCTCGCCTTTGTTTTGTTTTTTTATTTGTGTGGGTCACTGTTTACGTTTCTGGGGCTATTTAATGGTCGTTTTAGTTGCAATGGTCATTAGTCTCAAATATCATCACTGAATATGGATGACAAGAAAAATAAAGTAAAATTTGATTAATTTAGTTAAATGGTTTTGAATGTCTATTTTTGAGTCGACACTTCCAAAGATCTCGGTTTTTCTGAAAACATTCCTGCTACTTAATTGAATTAAATACAATGGATTTCGTTAATATACTATGCAGTAAATTATATAAAGTGTGTTTTTGACGTTTGAATTTGTTTTTGTTACTAATTCACGAATTCATCGTGTTATTTTCAAAGTTGTAATTAATCCAAAGAAAGCAACGATTCATCATCGAGTTTGTTGTTGGCGGAAGGGATTTAATTTTAAAATCTCCATGATAAAAAGTATAAAATTTTGCACGTTTAATGGTGTTAACCAGCCACGCAATCAGTTTGCCAAGACGTATTGCATCCTAATTTAGCAATGGTAAGGATAACTTGACTTGTGAATTTTAGCATGATTGTTAGGATGTTCCTAATTTCTTCGTTATTTTTGATAGCAAGTCACACCTTTATAATGTACAGAGTGGACATGCAAGGTGATGAGGTGAAAAATTTAATTCAAAAGTTTTTAGGTATGTAAAATTATACCGTATGTCTGTCATAAAATATAGCATTATTTTTTTAAAATTTAGAAATACCGTTCATATTGCATATCATGATTCTACATGAAGTTTTCGACTTTATTTATCATAAATGTGAGATTGAGCCTAAGATTTAATTTGGGTTCGGTTTCTTGTTCAGAGGGACTTAATGAAATTTGGGGTTGTTGGTTGGCGTCTTAAGATACACGAGCGACCATGTATAGTCCACAAAAACCGTTACCATTAAACTAAACGAATCTTTTGTTATGATCTACCTGACTAGCATAAAACCGTTCTAAAATATTTCTCGTTTCTCCTAAATATACCTAAGCAAATCGGCCGAAAATTGATAGTAACCGAAGTTATAAAGTTGATTTTAATTTACAATAGTCGAAAACCTATAAGGTAAAGGAAGGAAAAAGGAAGGATACTTTCGTGTTTTTGATGGTCAGATAAAGTACGGTGGACGTCAATCGAAGCCTTGTGTTGTTATCTGGTTGATATTTTGTACTTCGTACTTACCTAAATTAACGAGTAGCGTTATTAGATGCTATTGTGGCCATATTAGTAACAAATTGTGAGAAAATAGACTATCGGTTTTTTGGAAATAATTGCGGAATTTGTTTATTAGGAGCTCGCTCGACTTCTAGGTGTATTACGTCAAATTTTCGTAGTAGTCTACGGTTTTCAATATTGTGTAACAAATCTGGTGGCAATATCTAGGCAAAACCAAATGCAGAAGATTCTAAAGCAGGGTACTCTCAAATATCTTTATTGGATCAACCGCGCGTTAAACAAATTATAACCAAATCCTCCTATAACTAGTGTAATGTAATATTACAGGAAAACTTATAAGGAAAATTGCAATTCGAGGGGTTATGAGCATTGCACATAACAATTTACTAAGAAACAGACACGTCACATGAGTAGGGATAAATCCTCTGTTAACTATTTCTTTTTTTTTATTTTATTTTGTTTGTTAACACAGTACTATACAAGATTAGGCTTTATTTCGTCCAAGGTCTAATCTTTTTTGTTAATTTTAATTGAGTGTTCGAAAATGCAGAGTTTTCCGAGGAGTTGTTACGGTGGAAAGGTGGGTTTTTGGGACACCCTGTATCGGTGTATACTGTATCGCCGGACGTAGAACTTTAACACTCGACAATTCTTGGAGTCGATGAAAAAAATTGTTTCACTTACGTAGATATTAAATTTTACTTATTCTCTAAACAAAATTTTCTCTCACAATCATAATAAAAGTTGCTTTTAAATTCGTGTAGTATCTGAAGCTGTATTGCGTGATAAATATTTACGAGGAAATTATTTCGAGACACAATACGTGTTTTTGTCCTTGTACTTTACAAATCGCTTACAACTAATTTAAATAAATTTCACGTAAACCCAACAGTTAAACCGTACGAGTATCATTTCGTCTAGAAGCGCTTCACTTTCACAACTTTTTCAGTCGGGATGCCGTTCAGCTGGTTACAAAACTGTTTCTTAATAGCAACAAGAATAATGTTTATACTTCTTGTCTAAAAATTCATGTGGCTGTCCATACGTGCCGTTCTCTTACGAACGAAAGAAGTGAAAGTTCTGCGCGTTCGTTTCAAAACTAGCTGCATCTGAAATAGTAAGTAGTCTACTTTGCAAATTGAATTTTTATTTTGTGCGGACGTCTGCGGGGCAGCAATTAACTTTTCCTTTCTTTCGATGATCATTATTTTTGGATGTTCTGAAACCAAACACTAGTAACATTTTTTTCACTTACTTTGCGGCGTCTTCGAGCAAATTTTATGTGATTGGTTTCGTCTATCATTTCGCCACAAAGTGAAATTAATCTGCGTGAAAGTACATTTTAGCTGCGCTTTTTTTTATCTTTCCACGTCGCTTATTGTGGCGTTATAGATAATGCAAAAATATTACGATAAGGATTAAATTTGGCCTGTAATTGTAACTAATAACTGATATTTTATATATTGCCGTACCTTATCAGATAATATTCTCAAGTTTACAAACAATAATATACCAGAATACCAGAATGAGACACCAAAATCTGCACAACGATGATTTTGCAATGCAGAGTGAACAGTTTGGTGTGATGCTAGGTAAACTAAATTTAAAGGTCACCAAAAATCAAAATTTTGAAAAATAAACTTATATGAAGTCTATCTAGTTGTGATGTCGGTTTTACTGCCCTGTTGGAAAATAATAAAAGTAATACGTTAACTATGTATTATGGATCAAATAGGAAGGTGGATTCCGGAATAGCATAGGATAAACTCCTCCTGTTTAGTTGGGACGCCCAACATCCTTTGCTTTACTTTCTCCACAAATCTAACTAGAAAATTTTTGATTTATATCGGCTTTTCCCCGGGTGGGCAGAAAAATATTTACTGACTGTTACCTATTTTATATTCGACCAAATTCCTATCTCCATCGTTCATTAATCTCAATGAGTAAGAATTGTTGCACGTACACACTTGAGTCACCTAAGTATGAAATGACAAATTTCCGGTGACGCCATGGTCTTTTCCCTCGCATCTGATTTCGGTGTGACATTACAATGAATACTTGTCGATTCCATACAAAAATTAAAGAGTTTTGTTAATCTCGCCGTGCGTATATATATACGTATTATTACACGCGCTTTTTATACATTGGCGTTTTAGCGGTCAATCCAACAGGATGTTTAGACGTGTGTCCGTTAACCTTCGTTTATGTATAATTGTGATTCATTAGCCGAGCCGAGAACCTAAGAAGGAGATTTACAATGAACACTGGGCAATTTAAAAATTAGAGTATCTTGTTTTGTGCATAGTAATTAGCTAAGCTTTTTTATATATTTGCGTTTGTTTATTTTTTTGCTTCCTTCACATGCTGTTTTTTTATTGTAAAAGGTTCACCAAAAACCTCTACAAATTGAAGATGCAAAATCAGTGTCGAAAATTGCACGAATGATAAAATAAGTCTTTTGGAGGCACCAAGTCGATAGATCATCCAAATGTTCCCTCCACAGGTGAACGTCAAGTAGCAAAGTGACGTGATACATCTTAAAATCTCTTGTATGTCAAAGAAACTGCTTTGGTTTCCCTATATTTAAAGTAATATGGAATTCAGTCAACTCCACAGTCCCAAATTTCGATGATCCCTTTTATTTCGCATTGTTTAAAATGTATCAAAATAGCCCAAATACATCGATATGGAATAGAGTGAAAAATTACTTTTATTTTCAACTCTATGACTGCAGCGCTGTTTTCTTAATTGAGCATATAAGATATACATTACAGTTCCAGACGTATTACAAAGTTATTCTAATTAAAATGAACAAATATATCTTATATATACACTATAATTTAAATTATTAAAAAAAAATAAATTTTACGCCGAAGCATTGATTCTGTATCTGAGTTTAATATTTTGGGAGCCATGTAGGAGGAAGAGCGCTAAAAAAAATCTGTTTTGTGACTCTGGTTATTGTATCGGGTGTTGCGGTAAGAAATTGTAGTGCGAAATATAAATTTTTGCAGAAGATGATGTCAGCAATTTCTACAAAAAACTACCTATTTGCAAATTCTGCATATTAAGCCACCCCAAACGACTTAGCTGAAACGTACACAGGAGTTTTAAATTCTCAGTAGCCCGCCTTTGGACTGAACCTCAAAACAATGTCAAGGTAATTCCAGTGTGAGGGAACGAAAGATTTACATGGCTATAACAGTTTTCCATTGCTCGGGAAGCATAGAGCCTCCCTCTATGCATTTGTATTTGAAACGGAACAATTAGTTCATAGAAACAAAGTTAAAGACCACAACTACTCGCTAACAAAGTCAACATCATTACATTGATCAAAATTACGGTGCAGTGAAATTCGTATGGTGTTTTGCAACCCACATTTTTTCTTTCATCAATTTCATAAAATGACATAGTTGCAAATGTTATGGTAGATTTATAAAAGGCTGTTGCTGTTCCATATTTTTATCTAGACCGCTAGGTTTACTAGGTTAATTACTAGCGAGGTGCCGAACAAACTGGTGTGCATTTGAGTTGAGAATTGTTATTAATTTTATTTATATAACCAATTTGTTGCGCGTCTGCGTTTTCGTGAAAGTTTGGCACGCGTAACATGATCTTTGAAGTACTTTATACTCTGCAGTGGTAATAAATAAAGAAGTTTATGCTCCAAAAAAATGTAAACCAAAATTTGTTTATTTATTGCAGCAAATGTATCCCTTCGGTTTATTTTTTAATAAATCACAGCGAATACAATCGTATAAAATTCGCTAATAAGCCGCCGCTTTTTAATATAATTAAACTTGGAAATCAAATGTTTTTTAATAAATTAACACCCGAACAAATGTTTTGCGAACATTTTTACACTCTGCAATGTAGCGAACAACCAGAGGTGCCTTTAGCCAAGTTTGATTTTATTTCTTTTTTAGAAAGTACTGACATATTATTGACATTTTATGTCAATGCTAGTGGGAATAATTAAGAAATTCGTAGTTATGTTATTGATGTTTTATGTTAATGATAATTGGAATAATTAAGAAAGAAAAATATGTAATAAATATTATTTTTCGGTTAATTTGCATTTCGTGGATATTTTATTTGTCCTAGACACTTTTTCTACAAATCATTATTTATAGATTGATGTTGTAACAACCTTTACGGATCGTTTTGAAATCATTTAAATGAAGTGAATTATTGCAAAAGAAACCAACAAGTTTTGATTCAAAAATATTACTTTATTTGGCTTTTGGACATTTTTTGTTCTAAATCTTTTACTGTATTTATTGTTTTCAAACTCTGGTACTCTCTGAGATTTTCTGCAGATTATTATATAGATATATATTTAAGCTGGTAATTTTTGGGTTCATCTTAGAAAGAAAATTTGGTGAAATTTTCAAATATTCAAATGTTTTGTTGGATATTGAAATTCAATTAGGAAAACATCCTGTATAGATGATTAAAAAAGCGACTATAGCATAATAGATACCGATAGTGTGACTATAGCAGAAGATGAGATTTTCCTTTTTTGTAGTTTCTCAACTGGACAAATGGATCGTCATCGTCTATGTTAACGCTGCATCTTATTGATAACGCCAAACCCTAGAATGAGAAGTTCATTGGATAGCACCGAAAGCGGAGGGAGTAGCGGTTTACCGCCGTGCATTGCTGGGCAACGCAAGAAACGATTCCCTTCCAGGTGGTCGCTTAGACATCTCATTTACTCGTCGCCACTGGCTCGCCGGAGAAGCTCCAACGGTGGCGGATCATCAAAGGTACCCAAGAAAGGAGATGCAAATTATTCGGGTAAATGTCTAACTTAATAAACCTATTAAAAATACAAATAAATCAGCTGAATTTGTCAATATAAGTATTGATTACACAGGTCTACATAATTAAACTTTTTGACAGGTGTTTTTATTTTAAAAGCTGACTTAATTTTGGTAGGCTGATTTCAAAAATTCTATGCATTTATTTGTATCACGTAAGGGTTTTTGCAAATATTGAAAGAAAAAAAAACGATATTTCTAAAATAATTTATTTTTTTATTCCGTAAAAAATTCCATTACAAAAAAGTGAAAAAAAAACTTTACTCAGTGAAATCTTCGTATTTTTGCCTGAAAGCTGCGTCGTCGGGACATTCGGCTGTGTGTCTTTGAGGGCATATCTCGTTTAAACACGTCCAGCAGTAGTCCGCCATTATCGTTATGCTCCATCTGCCTTGGTATCGCCGTTCCATTTCCTTAATGTCCTGGTGAAATTTTAAAACTCATATCACAACCTAGACGATGAAAGTGGTGTAGCAAATTTTGAAAAATATTTTCGCAGTTTTCGTCCCTAGAAACTTATTTAAACTTCTTTAAATGTTTTGTGTATTGAAAATCCTTGTCTTTTTACATAATGTTCTCATGTGCCGCCCAACAAAAATACCTTCTTTTATCTTGGCATCAGATATGGATGGAAATTTCTCTCACAAATCTTTGAAACACTCTTCATTTTTATCTAGGGCTTTAACAAACTGCTTCATCAAGCCAAGTTTGATATGAACAGGAGGCAGTAAAACTTTTTTGAAATCAACTAAGCTTTCTCTTAATACATTTTTGCTACCAGGTGTACGACTTGTTCTAGAGGGCGATTCTATTTGAGTCCAATGTCTATCTCAATGTCTTCTTTCCATATTTATACGTTTTTGAACACTAGAAATACGCAACAAGGAAGACAACAGCCGCGAACAGAGTAGCCCGAGGATCAAGACAACCAAACTGCGCATGAGCAGGTTACAACGCTGTATTGACGCTTTTGTGCCAACTCTGTTGGGAAATCTAATATTATCCATTGTTGCAAAATCACATTTAATTTTATAAAAATCAATTCATTTAAAAATCATGCTTAACATGGAACAAACATATTCATGTCATGGGTATTTATAATAATAAAATAACGTTTTTAAGATATAGAGCGCTATAGAAAAATGACGTGATAGGGCAAAAATATGGCGTTTTTTGGAAAAGGGGGCCCAAAAATATACAAATGAGCAAACAGTTTTCAAACATCAAAATCACCGTAGACCTGTGTTATAATTTCTGTAAATAAATGCGACCGAAAATCGTTTGTTCAGTTGCTTTGTTGTTGTGTTTATATTAGGGTTCCAATTTTTATTGTGTTAATGTAAAATAGCAAAATGAATATTTTGTTTCAGGAAAGGATATATTTGATGGCAAACCAGGACACCCTTCAAAAGAGAACGATAAATTCCCCATAGAATTAAATCGCGCATCAAGCAAGACCTCGGTATACGCGTCAAGTATCAAGGTAACTTCAACAAAAGTTTTGATTAATTAAAATCTAAAATTATTAACCTATTTCGATCGATATTCGTTATAAATATTCAATGACATTGATTTATATAAATGAGGAATTATTGTGAAAGTATAATATTAATATGCACGTGATTGATGTTGCAGAGTGGAGATGGAGGTGCCCTATCCAACCAATGTGGGGAGTGTCCACTATGTCTAGCAGAAGTAGCTTCAGATGATTTCTGTGAACTCTCGGCTTGCAGGCATAGAGCATGCATATCCTGTTTTCAGCAGTACTTAAAAGTTGAAATCACCGAATCTAGGATTTCTATTTCGTGCCCGGAATGCCTCGAGCCAATGCATCCAAATGGTAATCATAGAAATTATTTTAATAAATTGATACAAAGCCAATTCATTCAATTTAATCCCTTTAATTTTGATCAAGGTCAATTTATTTATCTATCTATACATACGTGGTATTCCACCCTAATCAAAACTTTCCCTTTTCTCTTTTGATTTTTTTTTATAATGTAGTGTATCGAGTTTTTTTTTCAGAAATTAGAGCTATTTTAAATAACCCAACATTATTTGAAAAATATGAAGATTTCATGGTGCGAAGAGTACTGGCTGTGGATCCCGATACAAGGTAACTAATTAGTTCTACTTGCTTTCAACTTTTTTTTTTACTTCAAGAAAATGTGAAGCTTAAAAGATTCTTGCAGAAAACTTACCAGAATTAACTACAGTCGAACTTGGATAAGTCGAACTGTGATTTGACACATGAAAATTTCGAGTTATCAAGACTTCGAGTTATCAATAAAAACATTTTCATTCATTTTCAAAAATGGGTTATACGTTACATAAATGCCCTAATATCTATGATTTTTAAACAAAAAACGAAAATTATGAAATAGTAGTACATATGTATGTATGTATTTACATAATATATATACCAATGTATTGTATATGTACCCAGTATATATAAACATAGTATATATGCACATATACATACATATTAAAGTTTACTGTTTCATTGGAAAAAAGTCAGTTATTTGTGACTGACGACCGGATTTCTTATTTTAGTTTTCAACAAAAGCTTCAATTTTATTTAAACAATCATAGAGGGAATCGGTTGTGTATTCACTGGTTTTCAAATAGGAATGCAAGACAATCAACAAATTTTCAACCAATTCATATGAAGGTGGTTGCTGAGAACCATCTTCCAATTCCTCCTCCATCGTGTCACTTTCGCAGTCATTTTCAATGTTTAACTGTACTGGTTCAGATCTGCAGGACTCGATAATATCTTCATCAGTAGGAAACTCTGAAGTAACAATATCCTCATCTACATGTATAAAATCGTTGATGGTGCTACCTTCTGCTATACCTCTAATGTTTGTCCAAGCTTTAAACTCGATTTCTATTTGGATTTCGTCTTCACTCTTTTCTTTCAGGCGTTCACTTAGGAAAATCAGGGGAATCTCATCTTCTTCTTCCCATTCAGGATACTGACCAAAACCGGCTTTTTTAAGACAATTGGATATTGTTTCAGGCTTAACAACAGCATATTCTATGCGGTAGTTACGTCGTCAACACAATCCATTAGTGTAATGTTATTGTCTTTTTTTTCTTCGAAACGTTCCATTGCGGTGATGTTTATTTTTTAAAATTGTAGACACTGTACTTGCCGAAATCCCATACTTCACAGCTACATCTTTATTTTTTGAGCCACTTTCCATTTCTTTTATAACCTTAAATTTTTGATCAACAGACAAAGCTTTTAAAGTAAAAAGGTCTTTAATATAACGTGTAAATTGAATAGGGACAGTATTTTTCACTTAGTATTACTAGTAAGTCATACAAGTGAACTTAGCAAGTACAGAAACTGAACTGCTTGCATAGATACGTTAAAAAGACAGGTTAAGATCGGTCGTAATTAGGGGGTTCCCCGAGAAAATTCGACTTATCGAAGTTGGCACCAAATTTTTCGTTCGAGATATCAAGATATTCGAGTAATCGAAGTTCGAGTAATCAAGACAAACTAACATACGTTTCCTACTTTAGACGCTATTGCCACCCAATTTGGGTCGACTTATGAAAAAATTCGAGTTATCGAAGTTCGACTGTATTTCGTAAAGCAATATTAAGATAAACCTAAAACCATAATACTGTATGAAACTTGTATGAAAATAACGCAACATTAAAAATTTGACTTCTCAAATGCATTAATATTTTTTCTGCCAGATTTCTCATTGATTTGTAAAATTGCCAATTGGTTATTGTAAAGTCGCATTATAATGAACCTGTACGGTTGACCAATATTATTTTTATGGTGGCTGTTTTACTGCAATCGAAAAATCAGCAAATATTTAATTCTAAAAGGAGCCATGCATAGTTCTCATTGGCGATGTTAATGCCAGGCAAACTATATTTTATAAAAAATTTTTACAGGTGGTGTCCAGCGCCCGATTGTTGTTTCGCGGTAATCGCATCTGAGTGCGCGAGCTGTCCGAAGATCAAGTGCGAGAGGCCGGGTTGCGATTCCTATTTTTGCTATCACTGCAAAGCGGAATGGCATCCCAATCAAACTTGCGACGCTGCGAGAGCGCAACGTTCACCGAACATACGTTCGTCTTCGATTGCGTACAGTCAAGATTCGCAGCATAGTAAGTTTTTTTTTAGCCTCAAAACACGTTCCTCCAATAACTTCCGGTTTCATTTTCAGGAGACGATATAAAACCCTGTCCCCGCTGTCAAGTGTTGATCGTTAAAATGGACGACGGTTCCTGCAATCACATGATGTGCGCCGTATGCGGCTCGGAGTTTTGTTGGCTGTGCATGAAAGAAATCAACGATTTACATTTCCTGAGGTAGTTAGAACCACTTGCCAATTTTTGTACTCTATCCATTAAGAATGTATTTCATTAGAAATCCGTCCTTGACGAGAAATTCATTAAATTATTATTTTTCTTAAATGTAAACAATAATATAATCTAGTCCCTTTCTCCCGTAGGGTGTAAGGGTGAAATGTAAACACACTTTAATTATAATTTTTATATAATTTTTGCGCTTTAAATAAGATTTGTGGAAGGTGAAAATGTGATAAAATAACTAATTTAATTAATATTTTTAGCACAAATTCTGTATTTATATGTGCTCTTAATTATCTTTTCACATTTTTCTCTTCTATTTTTCAACACTTTTTAAAAGTATGTTTTTTCCATTATCTCTTAAAAATGAACCCGAATGACTAAAATCTTGAATTTCTGAACAAAATATTTTAAATCCAAAAATTAAATTGCATTTTCTGTTTACCTAATAGCCCATCGGGTTGTACATTTTGGGGAAAGAAACCGTGGTCCAGGAAGAAGAAGATTCTTTGGCAGCTAGGCACGTTGGTCGGTGCTCCTGTTGGGATAGCTTTAGTGGCGGGAATTACGGTGCCTGCTATGATAATAGGTATTTTCCTTATTTTTAGTTTGTTAATTCAAGAGTAGTGAATACAAAATTTGTTTTTTCACCCAAATAAATGTTTAATTAAAAAAGATAAGATATTCAGCTGTGAAGAAAAAAAGTATTAAAACTCGAAGGGGATATTTTAGTAATCTTAATTTCTATTTACACACGAGAAATTTTTAGAAGATCTGTCTTGCGTAGTGATCTAACATTCCAGTCCCACCAGTCATTTCCCACAAACTTAAATATTCATTTAAAATGTTGATGCCTGTTGGTACGAAACTCCCACAATTCGCAGTCTCGACCATTGCAAGGCACACGTAAATTGTAGGGGTTGGTCGGCGGTAGGACACATGTGTTTAATAATTAATTAATAATAGTTTACATAGTTTGCATACATACATGCTTACCTTGCCTAAGCCTCTCAAGAACTTGCAAATATGTTTTTTTTTAAAGAAACATCCATTATTTACTAATTTAGTCTAATTTTTGCACTTTCAAGAATAAAACGCGGTTAATGAGAGAAATATATATTTATGCATGATGTTTGAATGCCATAGACAAGAATAAATGTACCCTAGTCATCTGAAGACGACTGAAGATACTTGACCAGTTGAAAAGTTGCAGAAGTAAATAACGGCAATGGAAGTGCAAAATTTCAAATTTCATCGATTATGTAATAATAATTACCTTGCTAGTTATGGCTAAGTTCATATTAATATTTGAATTTAAAAGTTAAATTAAAATTATAAAATTAAATTAAATCACATTGTTATTAAATTTATCCCCCACTTAATTTTATTCACAGTTTACTTATCACTTCCAGAATGTCATGGTCAACTCTAAACAACAAGGATTCAACAAGCCTCTTGATTTTTGTATATTCCCTGTTTTGCTCCTCTGCACTGAAGTAAATTTTACCATTGGTACTGGCATTGCCTGATTTGGTACAAATCTGGTTTTTACTGAAAGGTTGATTGTTTCTTTACGAATTTTGTTAAGACAGTCTAATGACTATTTTAATGTAGATTTTGTTGAAATTTAGTACTTTGGCTTCAGTAAACAATTATTTAGAAGGATATAGTTTGTTTTTGAGTAATATTATTTTCAAAACATGCTTCGGGCTAATTGCTAGCAGTTGAAGAGCCTTACCGATGCACATGTACCATAAGATAAAATTGATTCTATAGATTTATATATTCCAATAAGAAAACTTTGACTTGATATAAAAAAATTATGGAATAACTTGCGAATCTTCACAGTGATACAATTGAAGTTGTTATGCCATTTAAGATTCTGATCAAAAAATACCCCAAAATTTTTATTCTTTGCAAGTCTGGAGTACCAGCTTTTGTCATGGAATAATTAATGAATTGGGTTTTCTCTCAATTAAGTGGCAGCAGGCCATAATCTAGCAATTTTTTTACCAGACAATACCGTCCTTCGTTAAAATAGAAAATATTCCATTCATATATAATATTAACAACTAGCCCTCTAATACCTAAGTCTTCCAGTCTCTCCAGCAAGATATGGTGCAACAGAGTGTCGAATGCTTTGGCCAAATCCAGAAAATATAATTAAAATAAATAAAAATTCGAAATCCTGAAAGAATACATACATACATATATCAATGATAAGCTTATAAATAATTCTGGAGCAAAAATAAAAAAATGTTGCTTTGGCATCTGCAATTCCTGTGAATTTTAATATATGTTGCTAAAATGTCTTTGATTGTGTTTAATGCAACCCTATCCAACCCTAATTAGTCGTTTAGACTCTAAAATTGGGAATTGTCTCATTCTCAAAATATTTAATGATTCTCTTTACTCGAAAATAATCCAATTAGTATTGTGTATCATTATGTATGTATATAATGTAGTAATTTTTTTTTTGTTTTTTGTAGGCATTCCGGTATGGGTCGGGAAGAAACTATACGCCCGCTATAAGACTGCTAATAAACACAAAAGAAACATTGCCATTGTTGGCGGTGTTTTAGCATCGGTAAGTGAAAAAATAATTATTATAAAATTAAGCAAAAGTGACATTGTCGGGAAGTTTTTGCGATTAACAGAGAACGCGGGTATTGTTAAAAATAATGAGGAATTGTGTGATGTGTAAGTGTTCTTAAAAAAAACAAACAAAGGCTTTAGTTTGAGGAAATGCTAATATTAGACTTTCCGCAAAAAATGTTTGCGCTAATTCATTATTCATGTGGCGGTCTGCATTCGGGAATTTCAAAAGGTAAAAATACCGTTGTATTAAATTGAATTATAGAGACATACTTATATTGTGTTATTGAAATGATTTTTGTCTAAAACAATATTACAAACTTATTATTTATAGCTAACAAATACACAATACTACAACATTACCATGGTTTCTTGCTGCTTTTTGAACTTTGTGTTCTAATTTGGCTTGATGGTGATTCACACTTTAGCATGTAGATAGACTCACAAACATCGCTCCCGAAAATAATAAATTCATTAATTTGTGATTCTGAACTGTTGTTTAGAATAATTATATGTTCTTATTTTCTGAGCATACGGTCCTCCCCTAGTGACATCCGCAAGTGATATTTTTACTGGATGCATTATAAAATTTTGTTCTCCCTGTTACAAAATAATTGAAATTGGTTGTAGTCAAAACAAAATATCGATTATGCAGCAGGTTGTGGTTATTTCAAAACACCATAGAAGTCTAATTCGATTTGTGCTATAGGGTCAAAGTCGGGTAAAGTTGCTGACAAGTGCCTAACAAATTGTAGAGTCGATATTAAAGAAAATTCATATTTTGCGGTCAACATCAACTTTATTGTTTCTTATGTGTGTCATATGGATTATAAAAGAATTAGTTTGACACTTTAACTTTCACTTTTTCCGAAGTTCTTCACAATTCCTCTGGAATTCCTTCATAATGTACACCAGTGTTTCCCAAATTTTTGACATATAAGTTTTGTAATATTTTCCGTTTTTAGTAGGTAAAATAATAATAAAAACAATATGGACAGCTATAAGACAAATTAAGCAATGTTTATTTTTTATTGAGGCGATTAGAAATTATCTATTAAAGTTGATCCTAAGTTGGATCCAACAGATCCTGATGCATCGTGTACCACCACTAAACATTACATAAGCTGGACTTTTTGAATAACTGATTTCAATCTTATTAATTGAATTTGCGCTTGCATACTATGTTATAAAAAATTTGCTAAAATTTCTAATTTTATGCCGATACGTATTTTTCATTTAAATTTATTGTTTGAATTATGCGTTTTTTTTTCTTTTTTATTGTGCTTGTCGAGCTAAAAGTAAAAATACAGATAGAATTCGATAAAACTACGACAAAAACTAAATGTGCTTCAGAAAAAACGATGCGTTTTAAAGTTACTGCGAAGTGCGCTTACAATAGCAACGATTAGCAAACGAGTTTCCGCCCATTTCCCAAATCTGATCGATAAAAGCCCTTCGCAGAAAATATACGACCCTGACGCGAAGCGAGCCTTTTGCGATAGAAAAGATGCGGGCGTGACCCAGTTTAGCTTGCTGCGTTATCCCTTGGGATTTTTAGGATATGTGATTTTTTCAAGAAGCGCAATTGTTATGAAGGGAAATTAAGAGTTGCACATCCCAATGGATTTATTTTACTACTTACAATAATTATTGTTTTAGTTTTTTTTTTACTAATAAATTTGCGTCTAATATTGTTGTAAAATGTGGTAACTGCTAGACTCAAAGTTAAATTTCCACTTGTTTATTGGATTGTGTGTAACTAAATACACTTCCACTTTTTAAAGCTTTTAAATGTAATATAATTAAAAATTATTCATTACTTTGCCGTGAATATTTATCAATATTGGTTGAATAAACCGAATTTTACAGGGGAGCTGCAAAAATAGGCACATAGTATATACCATATCCCATTTTTGATGTTTACGGCGTATTTCTAGACACCCTTTGCAGTTCGGTGATGCATTAACTTATCGAAAGCGGTCTGGATAGGGTTTTTTACGTGGGACATGGTGCCGTTGTCTTAAACTTTTCCAGACCAATTTTTACTTTTTCGGTCAGATAACGCATAACTATCAACGGTGTCTAAAAACGCAAAAATTTCAGAATCACTCTAGCTTAAAATCCGAATTTATGTTTGCGCCAACCTTCATTTCGGGAAAAGGGGACACACTGTATATATAAAACTTTAAATTTTAGACTTATTCGGTGATAATAAACTCATTCAATTTTTTTGCATGGTAATTAAAACAAAAATACAAATTTCTTAATGAATAATAAAAATAAAAATTTAAATTAACTCGAAATTTAACAATCTTTTATTAAAAAAAAAACAATATGTAATTCAATTAAATAGAAATAGAAAAAAGGAACATTTTTCATGAATTATTAATAAAAACACACCAACAAAACGCCAAACTGAAAAACTATTTTTCCTTTGTAATTTTTATAAACTTTTCGGGCAAACCCCAAATCCAGACCAATTTTTATTTTTTCGGACAGAATCACTGTGTAGTTTAAAGTGCGAATTTCTGTTTGTGCCATCGTTCATTTCGGAAAAAAAGAACACACTGTATAAATAAAACTTTAAATTTTAAAGTTATTTGCTTAGAATTAACTCATTCAATTTTTTTTTGCTTGGTAATTAAAACAAAAATACAAATTTTTTAATGAATAGTAAAAATTAAAATTAACTCGAAATTTAATAATAACAATGATAATGTCTTTTATTAAAAAAAAACAAATATGTAATTAAATTAAATTGAAACAGAAAAAAATATATACCGCCAAATTGAAAAACTGTTTGTCCATTGTAATTTTTATTTAAACATCCCAAGGATTTAAATTTTTCGGGCAAACACCCTATTTTTGATTTTCACATTTTGTAATAAATAGGAATAATCAATCACATTTAGTTCGCTACGATTTACTAAGCGTATTAACATAAGTTGAAGCATATCACATGACAATTTGTAAAATACTAACCGATTATGTCTGAGTTACTTCGGGCGACAGAAGTCCGTCTTTGTGCAAATCTTGGAGAAAAGTCAGTAGTCGTTCTTCGACTTGGGCGTTCCCAATTGCCAAGTCGACGGAACCTGTAGAAACATTGAACATAAGTTGACGTCATAAGAAAAAATTACAGATTTGTAACTACCGATGCACAAAAGCAGCGCAAGTAATTGACTTTTCGTAAAATCTTCACCGAGACGAACTCTGTTGTAATTCATTTCTTCTTCAACGTTAAATTTTAATTTTCGACAATTCGCTGTCAAATGTTCCCAGTAACTGTCTAGCAGTTGGTCGGTGTGTTGCCTTCGTACGTCGGCCGCCAGAGAGCTGACAATAAGCAGGGCCAAATCATTCGTCGGTCTGCTGTAGGTGACCATTTGCCAGTCCAAAATCAGGCATTCGCAGGACTCTTCGTTTTCTCGAAACATAAGATTGTTGCACCAAAAATCCGTGTGCGTTATCAAAGCCATGGGCTCCTGGGGCGCTAAAAGATTTTCCATCATCTCTTTCGTATAAGGTCTAATGTTGTTCAAAGCGGACAGTATTTCGCCCATTTCAGTTTTACTTTCTAGGAATTTCAACAGTTGCGGCAGACCTCGTTCAACTAGTTGCTGATAAGAGTGGGAGGCCTGCGGTGCTTTGAATAGGAACGGGTACCGTTCCGACAAGTGTTTATTTTCGCTAACCTAACATATACAATTTAAAGGAGAATCGACAAGTTTTCTAATATTAAGAGACTCACTTTAAAAGCGAGGGCCAACGCGTGAAATTGAGCGATGCTCTCCATGGCTGCCAGGGCTTGCCTAAGGCTTAGCCCTCCTCTAAAATCGGCAGACAAATAGCCGTGAGGTTTGGCATTCTCGAGGACGAGGACGGATTCAGGTGGCGAAGGTTCCGGTTCTGTTTGGGCGGGACTGTAATGGGCGTAGAAACATTTGGGGACTGGCAGCGAATTTGGTTCGGCGGTTGTGTCGTTTTCCAGAACTTTTTGCCCGAAAGATTCTAAATCTGGCACAATCTGCAATTGGAGGTTGCGTATTCTCTAATCAATCACCCGCAGAAAGATTTTTGATAATTTATTGCAATTGATGATATTGGAAAATTTGGTTTATTTTTTTCTTGCTTGATGAGAAACCCCATTGTCATCGAACCTTGTTCTTGGTTACTATTAAGGGAGTAAACGAGAAAAGTATTAGGTACTTACTTGCGTATAAAATTTTATTTCTCTCAAATCAAACTGCGCTTGGGTAACGAAATAGCGACTGAATGGATCCTGCGGCAGCAATTTGATTACGAAGCTAAGGTTTTGTATATGGGGTTCGTTCCTAGAAATTAGGGTGGGAAATTATATTTTGCTTGCTAGCACTTTCGTAATTATTAAGAGACGTCGTGACAATCGTATCTTCTCGCATCCCTCCTAAATATTTTTTTTTATAAAGAATACCTTAAACGATATTTGACGGTGACCGCTAAAATATCGGAGAGTACGCATTCGCTTGCTGTGCATCCGGGGGTCACGACAAAGTCCTCGATATTCACGGCAATGTTTATCGTAATCTCTTTGTGGTGCGCTCTGAGGACCATCTCTATCCATTCTTCGTTTATGGACCATTCGGATACGGTGGAGTCGCTGCTGTTATCGTCGTCAGTATCGACCATTTTTCTCGGAAGTTGTTGACTTAATTAAATATCGAAAACCAATATCCCTTCACCGCACATCACCTGTGGCACTTAGCGATGCTTTAATAAAATTCTTTTGTTTGAACGAGAAAATGTTACGAAATTTTTGTACAGCAAGTTAGACTATAAAACGAAGGCATTATAATTTTTTTTAATAAATTCTCCGCTTTATTTTATCTTTATCTTTAGTATTTCCACTCAACCGAACTTTGATTTGTTCAATTATTTTTTACACTTTGTAAAGATTCAGAACTAATTTTAACTTCTTTTCCGACTGTACTTTTATTTTGTTAAATGGGAAAGTGACGTACACTAGAGTGAATAAAAAATATCCCACAACACCTTTGGTATGGTCTGTTCATAGATATAAGAAAGTCACCAATTGCTTTTGAACGGATTATCCAAGGCTGGTCATTAACATACAATGAAACAAGATTATTACTTTAATTAATAATTAATTAATTAATAATTACCTTAATTAATAATATTCTTGTTGCATTGTATGTTAACCCTTGGATAATTCGTTCAAAAGCAATTGGTCACTTTCTTATATCTATGAACAGATCATACCGCTTTTTTTGTTGCTGGTTCGATTGAAGATGTTTCAGGCAATCGCTATGTATGCAAATAAATTGTTACAATAAGGTGCAGACAAAATAAAGCGGAACTGAATAAAAAACACTAGAAACCGTAGTTATGCACCATAAACGTTACTGGTTCCGGAATTTAAATTTTTTTAAATTACAAATTGACCTGTCTGACTCGTGCTATTTAGTTCAATTTCGTTCCTGCCGATCGCAGGATTTGTCAACGCGAACTGGTGACGATTTGTTGCACCGGCCAACTGGAAATCGTCCCGTCGAGCTGCTACGTTCCCGGCAAGGTTTCGCGAGCACGTCGTTGTCTGGAAAACTGGAGGCTTCGGTTAATAACGCGCTACGCATGCATTTGACGGAAGCTGCGTTGCCGCCCTCTCTGATGGATTTTTCTCCTAATTTTTGCTTATACTTGGGGACGTCAGAAACATTGAAAATGCTGCTGGCGTGCTGGAAGTCCTGGAATTCCTAAAACTTATGAATAATCGAATTAATTATTTTCGTTTGTTGTTACATTTAAAACTTAAAAAAAAATCAAAATTCAACGGTTGTTGCTTCTCTCTGTGTGACCGAACTTGTATTGAGTGAGTAAAATTGATATTTTCTTCAGTATTTATTTTTACCTTTTATCATTTGCTTTTAGCTGAATTTATTCAACGCTTATTTAAATGGTGAATAGTTACGGAAAAATCCTCTCTTACGGTCAGGCCTTATTTAACATATTATGAATAAATAATAAATACTTTTTCTTCTAATGAAACATCCTGAAAATATGGAGTGGCTATCAAATCACTTTTTGGGTGATGGGTGATGCAATGATAAAATTTCCTCACAACTCCGCTGGTATAATGAAAGCAAAAGAAACACGACAAGCAAAAAAAAACTTTTTTTGCTTGAGCGTGATGGTTAGTTCTGGGATGTTATGTTCAAGCCTTGTGTAAGTCTTCTCTATTGATGTAAATTGTGTAGGTATTTTTCATACCGTATATCTGTATTTTTATCGCAGACGCGATTTTTTTAAAAATATTACACATGTTACATTACACATTCATGTCCATAATTGTCACTTATCAAACCCAACCAACGTTTTATCTTAAATTTAAAAAGGCACCTATATTTCTATATATTAGCGTCTCCGAGATCCTTTTGGTACACTTCGTATGAAGTTTGCGCATACCCTCCGCATTCAAGGCAAGTCTGGCAACGTGCGTTTAAACCAGGAAGGGTGTGGTACAAATGTGTTGCGCCCGGGTAAACACTTTGAAGATCCAGGCGTGTGTGAGGGATGGTTTTATCTAACATCTCGAACGGAATTTGTTATGCAGATTGTAATATGGTATTTGTTGACGCGCAATGCATCTTTAATCGCCTTCTATCAATAAAATATATCTACGAAATAAACTAAACTGATGTATTTTAGCTTTAACGAATTCGATCGATGTTTCTTTCGAACGAGCAGGTTTACAATATTATAATTTACCGAATATTACATTTTCGATGGTTGTGGCTTACGTGGAACAAAAATTTATTTTTAGCAGTAATTGCGATCGAGTTCGATTGTAGGGTTGCGGACCAACTTAAAAAGCATGCTATAGATACGTAAAAGAAAACCATATCATTTTCAGTTTGTTTGTGTTTGTCATTGTTCTTTCGGTGGCTTATTCTAATTATTTATTTATATTTCTTATTCCTGTCTATTTAAATTATTACTTATATTAAAATGTAATTTATTAACGTGGAATAATTTTTAAACTTATATGCAAGAATACGAGAAACGTACATTATGGTTGACAATAGTAAAAATAATCATGACGTTTCAATTTTTTTCAAATATTTCAAATAATTTCAAATCATATTTTCGCCATCAGTTAAATAATAAATATAGTTGAAATAATACCCATTGTAGATTTACACTTTGGGTGCAATTTTTCGGTTTAGGGTGTCACTTTACTAAGGTACAAATCTATTGTTAGAGATAACGAGAAAGATAATTTAATAATATTTATTCCTTGCGCACATAAGGAAAATTTGATTTTTTTTTAAACCTTCTTTTTCTTGTCTGTATGACTACTAGACACTAGACTACTAGACACTGAACCCATCATCATTTAAAAAATGGTATTGATAAAACAGGTTTGGAAACATTCCTATGCAAAGAAAAATGGCGATTTTTGTTCTAAAATATTTTAAGGTTTATTCTAGTCATACCAAAGCTTGACTCTATTAATATAGTTTAAATTCCAGATAATGATATCCCCGCTATTGGCCGGTCTCGCAGTAGGAATTGGAGTTCCCATTTTGTTATTCTACGTCTACGGCGTCGTTCCTGTTTCGCTATGCCGTAGCGGCGGATGCGGAGGTTCGTCAACGTCCGACGATTTAACATCGAGGGCACCTGACGCCACATCGGTAGATGCGGTCAGCACTAAGGGAGGCGCGAATCCAAGTATAGGCGAAGCTAGTCTCAGCCTAGCATCGGGTAGTCAAGCGCACCTTGGTGAAGCAGACAGGGAGAGTGCTAGTATGGTAAGAAGTTTCTACTCGTTCATTTTCATCAAAATTTCGGCTTCTTTAATTTTACTAACAGGAAATGAATAATAGGTCTGAGTATAATCCGCACAGAGGTGATGCCTGCAATGGTCCAATTACTTTGTAAAATTTAAAATATAAATGCGACCCTGTGGTACCCCCAGTCGAACAACAAGTAGTTCACAATATAGAATACTCTCTGAACTCGTTGAGACAGGAAAGAGCTTAATAGTTTGCACGATTTTTTTCCAAATAAATTATAGTGTCGAATGGTGATAAGTAATTTATGATTTATGGTATCATATTAAAGTCTGCCCATAGGTTTTGTATATTCTTTTATATTAAATATTTCATCTTGAGTAGCTAGTACAAAGTTTAATTGTTGGTCGACCTGTTCTACTCGTTCATAAAAATTTGTTAATTCCTATATTGTTTTTTTTTTAATTTTGATCATATGAAGGTGCTTTCATTTTTATGGGGAATGCCTCGTACCATCTTCCTGCATCATCTAGGGCAAATTTATTAGCTCTCTTATTGCCACATATACAGGTACCCAAATAAGATTGACAGAGGTGTAGTAGTTGTAGCGGCAGATTTGAGCTCACATTCACCAGTCCTTTGTAAGAATCTGAACTTTATATTGTGTAGAAAACCACAGGACGGCTCTAACCTTGCCTTTTTTTATGGCGAGGTCACTTCGACCGAGCTCTTGTAGTCTTACGGTGCTTCCCTATCGTTAATGAGTTATTTTTGTGTTACAGGTAGCTTTAAACGGTAGCATAAATCAAACTGGCCAGCGTCTAGAAGTTCAAGCAGACTTGGTTTCCGCACAACGCTTCAGTCTTAGTAGTCTAACCGAATCGGTCAATGCAAGTTTAACTTTAGATGACGGTGGTGCTAGTTTAAAAGCTTTGGCAGGTTCGGTAATTAATTATAAGGTATTTTACAATTATTGAAAAAGTTGCGAGGTTTGTTTTAATCAAAATCGATTTCAGGCTGCCGGAAGCGACTCTTGTAGTTGCATAACAACGGAAGACTGCACCTCCGAACGTGTTCGATTCGACGATAATGTTAGTTTTATAGCGTCCTCGCAAGCCGAAAAGACAAGCATCGGCAGCAGTTGCAGTTTTAGAGCGCGCTGCTCTCGGGCTTCGATGGGCAAGGTATCTCCTCTTCAGGACACAGTTTCGAATGATAGTATCTGTATAGATATTGAGGAAAAAGCCCCTCGCAAATATTCGTCGCAATCAGCCATTTTGCGGTCTCAATTTTTTCACTCCATTAACGAGTGCAGACCGACGACCAAAAGCCTAGACGAAAAAACTATCATGGAAGTCTCCAATGAAACATTAGATAAGCCCTCGGTGTCGTTGATTAAGGAAAAGAAAAATATTGTCATCTGTCAACTGCAGCCTGCTTCATCTACAATTTCTTTAGATGAAAATGGTCCACATGGAAAATCAATAGGAGAAATTGAAGCTGAGAGTGTTGCTAATCCGCTAATTAGTGATGCCCAAGATATACTGCTTTGTTATTCTTTGTTTGCCAAAAGTGATTCGAGTCATTAAACTTCGAAATTTACAGCTAAAAGTTACCCTACTTTATTGGAAAAGACTGATATGAATTATTATTAAATTATTTTTTAATGTTTTATGTCAAACTTTGTTGTGTAATGTTTAAGAATGAGATCTTAAATGATACAGTTTTATATACATAAAAAAAATTATAAGTTGTATAAAATATCAGTTTGCAATATTTTTATATATTTTTTAATTTATCGTCTTTGGAGGGCTTTTCAGATGTGTATTTTTAAAGGTTTTCCCAGCAATGAGCAAGGATGCTCTTTTTTTTTTTCTGGCATTTTACATTTTGTTTTAATTAAGTAAAAATACACATTAAATTTACACAAATATCTTTTCTGTATATTAACGATATGATGTGTAATTCTCTGGTGCAGAGAACTTTTGTAACTATATACGAGCTATTTAAGCAGTAAATATATTTCTTCTGTCCCAGCTTTATTTGTAACCATTTCCTGGGATATCCCATATTGAACATTTGAAAACTAGTACACTTCACCAAACACATTTGAGACATGAATAAAAATGGCATAGTTTGTATTTCAGGATTTTGAGTAAATTCTTAACATATGAATAAAAAGCAGAAGCTTTGCTTGAGTATTCATGTTGCCATTTGTTGTAAAGAATTGTTCATTATCGAGATAAGAATCTACACCCTAATTTGGGAGCCTGATAGGAAATTTAAGTTTGACTGCGGCAGAGAGATGACTGAGTTAATCCTTAATTTAAAGTAAACAATTAAAAAAACTAAGGAATAATTATATTTTTAAGAAAATTATTTACACTGATTAAATACAGATAAATTACTGTGTTCCCATCATTCCCATTTGCATATGTGGCTGATACGCTGGATTTCCGGCCTGACCAGGCATGGGCATCGCAGGTGACTGAATTTGTTGTACAGCTCCTGGAACCGGACTCTGTTGTTGAGGTTCCGAGGGTAAAGTAAGATTAATAAGTAATTCTCTTAGAGCGGGATATACTGAACACTCGGCCATATTTGCCTGAAACTGGCTAAAATGTTTTAGCAGTTGGCTCGCCGCAGTCATCGCAGGCACTGTGCCAGTTTCACGTTTTTCTGCTAACTGAGTGACATTTCCAGCTACGTCGTAGATAAGGGGCAACACTATTGAGGGCGGCTCCATAGTGCCTGGGTATTGCAATCCAATACGAGTTATTTGAATCTGGAATCATTTTATCAAGTACATGTATATACAATGCTTAAAATTATCCTACAAAGAATAATATTTTGTTCCTAAAAGCCAAAACACCTTGAGTACCGGTGGGTACAATGGGTGGAGCAGCTGGCGGAATCCTCAGCATCCACTGAACTGACCACTTCATACCCTGTTGCGGGGGCATCAATTCGAGCTTCATTATTTGTATAAAGTCCTTCAGAACATTTACGGGAACATTCAACATACTACAAAAAGTAAACATTGAGGTAGGTTTATAAGGTGGTGCAGCTGCCCTAGTCTCAAAGAAATTTTCCAAAACCTAAAAACTTAACAGATTCGAAACCTGAAATTACGAGTTTTAAATTATACCTTACCTGAATTTCTTCAGGTGAGAATATTTCTTTATCAGGTAATTGATTAATTTTTAAATGTAAGCTCTGAAGGTGTTGAGTATTTAGACCTACTCTGCATTGTAGGATTTCATTAACTTTGAAATGGGTCACAGCTGGCTCATTATTGGGAATTGCAGTGAGCTAAAATTAAAATTACTAATATTAATTAGTTTTAGAATTTTTAGAATTGCATCATACCACAGTCCCATAGTCAATTGGCGCAGTCAAAAATAAAACAAGGAGTACTTACATATGCTTCATTGTGAATAAATCTCTGCAACTGTCTTCTCATGTAAACACATCCCAAAAATCTTTCCAAAGGGGATAAATCTGGCCCGGGAATACCTTGTGGATGAGCTGTTGGACAGCACAATGTTTCAAGTGCTTCATGGGTAAGCAAAGTAGGAACTGCTCCAGCCCAAGATCTTTGGGGCAACACTCGGGAAAGATGGTTGCCTGTCTTTAGGTCAATTTGTTGAGGACTGAAATGATTAGTGATATGATCCACAACATTATATAACACCAAGGGTGACAGAAAACACTGTTTACCTTACCTGTGCATAATTGGTCCCCCAGGAGATTGTCCTGTCCTTGCTGGAGATGGTCTTGGCATACTTGGAGAGCCAGGCCAATTTGAGGTGGCAGGTGATGACAAGCTTTGAGAAGAAGGAAATGGGCTTCCATCGGTATGACCTACATATATTAAGCAACTTTATCCAACTCATAATAGGAACAGGGCAATTTCAACATACCAGAAGGCATAAAACTACTAACAGGTGAATGTCCTGGTAAATTTGTGCCAGCTCCTTGAGGTCCAGGACTTGAATTGCTCAGTAGTCCGCCTGGGCTGGCCAACTGAGGATTCAAAGGTGAATTGGCAATTAATCCAGAGCTGGGACTAGGATGAGGCATAGGGCTTGGATTAATATTGGTCGGTAAAGATGTGGGCGATGCTAAATTAAATGAGGTTGCTGGACTTGAGCCAAAACTTGCATGTGATTGATTGATATTGGAAGTGTGAGGTGAAGCAGGAGTATGGGGATTAGAGCCAGATGGAGGAGTCAAAGGGGGATGAAACCTAAGCCCAGGTTCAGCTCTACTTGCGCCTGCCGGTGATTGAGGTGGTCTATGGTGTCCTGCAATCATTACCAAACACGTTTTATAACAATGTAATTAGCAATTAGTAATAATAAATATACCCAAAAATCCACCACCATCGACTTCAACCGGACTTGGGGGGTTATCATCTTCACTTTGACTTCTTCTTCTAAAGACAGCCGTTTCATCCACATATTTTGATAGAAACGCTTTCAATAATTGAGTTGGACTGAAAACATCAACGACATTACTTCTGTCAAATCTACTATAAGCTCCGTCTCGTAATGATACCAAGCCGCCGCCCCTAATTCTTAACTCCAGGCAATACATGCCTTGATAAGCAAGTCGTATAAGAGTACAGGATTGTGCCATTATGGTAAAAGTCTCTACTGGAACTTTCGGTCTCTACAAGAAAATTTCATATTTTTTATTATATAATTTATACTGCATTCATTTTCATATGATTGCCTACAGTATAACTTACGGTATTGTGCACACCAAGCTGAGGTAAGGTGGGTAGTTTGCTTATTGACAAGAGAGGTTCATAAGTTTCAACAAGAAGCTGTATTATCTGGGCTAGGTTTCGATGTTCATTAAGGTGAGCTTCTAGTTGTTCTCGTGTCAAGGAATGAGCATTTAAAGAATTATGCATAGCGCCAAATGTAAGCTTAAACATTTTTAGTTGATTATTCCACATTATTGATACCATTGCACCTTTGTCTGCTCCATAACACAGTATTAACTTGCTGTAGTTGTATGATTTTATTGAAAACAAGTTGCTCAAGTAACTGTATTTATCTAAAAAGGAAAACAAAATAAATACTCAATGATAAAAAGATTGTGGAAATGATTTGATCAAAAATTCTTACCTAATTTAAGATATTCACTTAATTCATGAATCACTGTGTAAAGGTGAACTATTTGCCACCAATCGCTTAGAAGACAATCTACGGTTTTTGATGTCTGATCTATAGTTGTCATTTCGTACTGAAAGTATATTGGACGTCTTGAACCTGAAATTGAAAAATATGTTCTTTTCAAAAACTCTAAAAAGTTCGCTGTATCACAAACCTTGCTCCTTAGCATGTGTGCTAGAGAGGGGAGTTGAACAAAAGACAAATTCCACCATCCAACTTTTTAGTGCTCCTTTACTAAGCACTCTTATTGAAACTGATAAAAGGCGTTTTAGTAAAGCAAACCATGCTTGAGAACGACCTATTTCAGTAGTAGGCGGGGGTAATTGAATAAGCTTTAAAACTAGACCAGTTGCATTAGCCTCTACTTGAAGTCCTTGATGGAATATATTTTTCTTGGTCAGCTATTAGTAGACAAACAATTAACAAAATATATTCAACAATAAATTTAACCTCATTCACCTCATTTGCTAGAGTAACATATGGGAGTCGTTCATCGCACATGGCTACGACATGAGCAAGCTCAGCAATGAAATAAGCAGGTTGTTTAGAACGTCTAGTTGCAGATTCTGCCTTAATTCCTCCCTTCCTCTTTAGACTATTACCTTCGGTGTGGTCTGGATCTACACCGCCTAAATAAAATAAATTTTAAGATTAACTCAATACATTAATTTAAAAGCAACTAACCATCAATGCATGTAAATGGCCCATGGGTAGCGACAAATGTGTCAAATTCAATAAGAGTTTGAACCTTCAAAAATACTTTGGGTATTTCAGTTTCTATGCTTTCATCATTTGGATTGTCTTCGATGCTGGAATGTTTGACAACACACATGTAAAATGAACAATCTGTCTCACAATGAGTGCTTTCTTTTTCTTTTATTTCCACGATCTGAAATAAATCAGCAACAATAACATACTGATTGCCTTATGTACTTACTTCACTTCCTTAAATTAAATAATGCAAAAATAATAATGCAATGGAAAAGTATCAAGGATATCAACAAAATATAAAAATACACGTACAAGTACAACATTGGTGTGCCGATGGAGTTGGACATACATTCTATGTTTTCCAATTTTATTTATAGGATGGTCCGGTGAGTATAAAAGTGGTAATCTTTCATGAGCAGTAGCAGACAAATGCTGCAAGGTTTTTTCGCACCTTCTTTGGGTAATCCAGTACCTTAGTTCTGATATAAACAATGGCAATTTGGACCGATCTCCATTTAATACATTGTTGACTTCAGGAATCAGGGGTGGATCATATTGAGGCACATGACTCTGCAACATACCAGTGTGAGTATCCACAGTAATAAGTAACTGTTCTGCTCTTAAACATGGTTGGAGTATTGCAACTGAAAGGATTGCTGGAGATCCTTGTAAGTTACCTAGCAATGAATAAATAAAATGTTCATTAACTGATACTAATAAATAAAAAAAACTCTTACATTCTACTTCTTTTAACATCCCTTGAAGCTCTAGCTTAATATCTCCCAATCTACTGCGAGTTCTTACATAAATGGTATGAACCAATAGCCTTTCCATAGAGAGAACTTCACTTCTGATGGCTCGGTCTGCTATTTCACTTTCCTACAAGACAATGTGTAATTTTTTGTAAAATTAAAAATATATATGTGTTTTGCCTTATTTCCTAATGAAGGTATGTGTACCACCGCTAATGGTCGTGCGGGATCGTGCTGGTCAACTTGTATTGTCAATTTGTAACCAAGTTCTGATCTTAAATCTTTGTTTGCTAGTTCTTTTCCTTTATTAGTTAATTCCCTAAACAAAAATCAAAAAACATGTTTATTTCCTTATTATCAGGGAAAATTTTGTTACCTCCAGTAAGAAATTGTCAAACACTTTCCAGGAATATATTCATCAACATATATGTGATCATCTAATCGATCCCTCATAAGTCTTAACGTTTGTGAATACAAAACTTCCAGTTGCAAGGACTGACAAAAGAAATGAAGACAGTTGTATACTTCAGTTAGTGGTTGCAAGTTATCAACAAGACGTGCTTGTATGAGTTGGTGTATATACTGAACTTGGAGGGGATGCACTAAAGCTTTACCATCTAAAAATGAATAAATAAAACTTGGTAATCAGAACAGGAGGTAAAAAAAAGTACCTCCAGTCTCCTTGTCTTCTACCAATATATCAATTTCTAGCAGCCTCCAAGGTATATTTGGTCCATCACCCATAACAGTCAAAGCAACTTCAAATTCATGTTGAACATGAAATGTCACTCTTCCATTTTCAATCTGAAATACTCACAATAGTAGAAAACGAAGTAGAAATAATCTCAATTTTATTGAAAATTAACAAACCTTTAGATTCTTCATTTGCGGCAACAGATTTCCAGTAACTAAGCGATGTTGAATCACTTGATTTATTCTTAAAAGAGTATTTCTTTTCTCTTGAGGAGTAATTGGATCAGGAGGTACAATTTTCTCTCTAATGCATGATGGTAGCCGACCATAAGTACCTACAGATGTTGGTACCATGGATGAATTCGTAAATATTTTTTAAATGCAACATACCCGTGGTTAAGACTTCCACAGCAGCCGGTATATGAAAATTAGGGAGACGAGCTTGTACCAGAGTCTCCCTTGCCATTCTTGCCAACATATCAGCCGTTTCCACAAATAAAAGAGATTGCTTGTCAAGAAATGCCATTATTCGCTAAAATGTTACATTAGGTTGAAACAAAACACAATGTTGAGGTATTACCTCAATTTGCAATACTAAATTTTAATAAGCCATTTATTTTGTTATAAGTTATAAGTTAACAATAATTTCAATCAAATAAACTTACAGCAGATTTTTCAACCTTAGATGCGCTGTTAGCCCATTTTACTAAAGCAAGTAGCCTAACAAATAGCTGTCTGGTTCTTGTGGAGAAGTTATATATTTCAATTTTTCTTTCCATATCAGTTTTCCGTAGCAGCCTAAACAAAATACAGTTCTGTTTATCGTATCTACGTATCTACATGTTTTCTTTAAAAATTTATCTTAGCCATGAAGAACAAGCAAATTAGACCCTGAAATCTAAAAATCAAAAATGAATTACTTACAGTTCAGCTAATATAGTAAGTTCGTGATAGGTTCTTTGCACTATAAAGTCGATTAACATGGCTAACGACATCATTCCACCCCTATTGCCTTCTTGTGGTCCTCCCATTAAGCCCTGTCCAACATTGTTGGCAACAGGGGTTTGTAACCCTTCTAAGGGTACAGGGGCCATTCTCGGAAAAATTCTGTCACTTAAGCTCCAATAAACTAAGCAATTACCAAGAAATTTGCCCTGTTTTCTAGACCCTCCAAACTTGCCATGAAAGTTTAATAACAAAATAGAAAAGTTTTGTTTTTGCAATACTGCAAACCACAGCCACAGAATAGTAAGTGAAAATTATTTTTGGCATTCCGTGGCGAATAAACAAACATGCACAGAAAAAACAAAATGGTAGAAACCTTTGCAGTAAGAAACTGAACGCAACTTGAAAGGGTAAGTTAAAGCTTTCGGAATACATTTTTTTTATATAAATATTGCAATGTGTTTACTACCAAATTGCATGAAATTTGGCAGATGAAATTGCCAGCTATTTTGTGTAAAATGCAAATAAAATTAGCCATCTCCAAAGATGATTTATTAAACGTGTATTTAGTATAAGAACTTGTATATAAAACAAACCATTTAGTTAAAAATCTAGATGGAAAAAGTCCAACTTTGGAAATTCCATGGAACAGGTTATTAGAAATTTAAATGTTAACTAGATATTATTGTGTAAGTGAATGAAGCCCAGTGCATAAGGCACTTGGGGTCCGCAGGCCCATAGCAAAGAATATCTGAAATTTATATACATATGTTTTCCGAGATTTTGACAGCACGTTAATTTTGTGGGGAGCATTGTACCTGGTACGTTGCACTATATAGCTAGAGATACAGAGGCCCCACCTATGCGGATAGTAGTAATTTTTGAACAGCGATATCCACATATTTGATTCATTTTAGGCGATAGGCATATTTTGAGAAATTATTGTGGTCATGTTGGTTGTTGAATGCCACAAGATCGTTGGTTAAAAACGAGATTATTAAATGTGCACGTTGAATGTACCTTTATCATTAAATATCGCCAATTCATTTACTTTTCGTTTTTCCGGTAACATTTTTGGTGTTTCTTCTGACTGCGACGTGTTTATTGCGTCGTACAAAGAAAAAGTCGTCCAGAATTTGGCAAGTTAATGCGGGATAGGAATATTTATGACACACTTGGGATTGGAAATTAAAAAACACTTTGTTTATCGTGAAATAACCCTGACATAACAATATAATCGCTGTCTAATACCATTTATTTTTTCTTTCTTTAGATTTTATTCTACATATATTTTCTTTTCGTTACTGCTTGAACGCCAGGAAGCTTAAAAATCGATTCTAAACCACGTCCATATTCGAATAAATGGTCGCTTATTAACCACCAGCTCTTAATAACAACGCAGTAATAACCACGTTACTATTTATCAAAATAGTGCAGTGATTATTTTCTGCGAAAGACTAGCGCTAAGCTGCCCTGTCCTGTCGATAGTGGTGAAAGAATTAGGCAACTTAATGCGGGATAGGAATGTTTATGACACACATGGAATTGGAAATTAAAAAACACTTTATTTTTATCGTAAAATAACCCTGACATAACAATATAATCACTCTCTAGCTAATACCATTTATTTTTCGTTTGTTTAGATTTTATACTACATACATATTCTTTTTTTGTTACCGCTTGAACGTAAGGGGGCTTTAAATCGATTCTAAACCACGTCCCTATTCGAATAAATGGTTGCTTATTAACCGCAACACCCTTAACAAGCAATGTTGTTGTGTTAAATAATACAGTGATTATTTTCTGCGCTATACTGGCGCTAAGCTGCCCTGTCCGTCGATGGTGAAAAATAGCTAGTGTTGGAGCTGGTCTATGGACCACTTCTTAATTGACCGGTCAACTCACCACTTTTTAATTCACTAGTAAAAAAATGGTTTAAATATCATCTTGCAATTGCAGAGCGTTATCTATCATTATTATTTAATAATAAATTATTATGTGTTTGTGATGTCCAATTTAGCTATAACCCTCCGAATACGATAATTCGGGGAATCCCAGTAATAATATCGACCCCAATTGGTACCCAGAACGACGCGACGGCGACGTAACGCACATTATAAATAAATAAATACAAATTTCATGGTATTATAAAATTTATTTTGGTCAATTAACAGGTTAATTGACACAAAATAAATTGACCGGTCAATTCCACAACTCTAGAAATAGCTGATCAATGTCCAAGTACTCTTTGAGTATCTTTTCAATAATTAGAGGAAATATGATTTTCAAACTCGACTGCGAGTAGTGTAACTTTTTCGAAGATTCGTAAAATTATGTTTTAGAATATCTGTATAGTTGTTGTTTATGATCGGTAAGCTAATTTTATGCGACTAGACGTATACAAAATAATTATTTACAACTATTTTTAATATCACCACATCTGAAGGTTGGTCTCGAAAGTAGGTAGGTATAAATTAGTTATAAATCAGATTATTTGCACTATTTTCCGCTATAGCCGTTAATTGATTTTGTTAAACAAAAGGAAAACAAAACGCCCAATACTTCCACGAGCGCCAACACTCCCACGGTCATAATTATTATATTTAAGTTTTTCATGATCCAGTTTATGATCGCGTCATAACAGCCCTGAAAATGTAAATAAGATAATTAAGGCCTCGAGTCGCGTAAAAATGTCAAAACCTACTTTAAGGTAGTACGAATTAACCTCATTCGGATCTGACGTACAACTGGAAACGAGTGGTCTTTTATCGTCGTCCAATACACAGCACGATTCCGGTACCGTTTTGCCGGTAGAAGCCCAAGCCGAATTTTGTTTGTAGTCGTTGTAGTTATCGACTCCACAGCATTTGAGATTCATTTGAAGCTGATCCCAGGCTATGGACACTGGGTCTGATCCTGTGCTGTTGTAGTACTTTTCTAATGAAGTTTTTAACACATTTTTCGTCTCTTCTTGTGCCTAGAAACAAATACTAGATTAGCACGAACAAATTTATTTTCAAAGCATAAGCATAAATCACACTATTACAGTATCTATTTGACCTAAACACCTAGGTTTAAAAAACCTGCTTATTTGTATATTTCTGGGGACATTTTTTCCAAAAAACGCCATATTTTTGCTCTGTCGCGTCATTTTTTTTATAGCGCCCTATATCTTAAAAATGCTATTTTATTAATATACACAACATGACATGAATATGTTTGTTCCATGTTAGGCATGATTTGTAAATGAATTGATTTTAATGAAAGTAAATGTGATTTGACAACACTGGATAATATTAGATTTCTCTGCAAAGCAATAGAGTTTGCGCAGAAGCGGCAATACAGCGTTATAACCTGCTTATGCGCAGTTTGGTTGTATTGGTCATCGTGGTCGTGGCTGTTGTCTTCGTTGTTACGTATTTCTAGTGTTCTAGAACGTATAAATATGGAAAGAAGACGTTGTGTGAACAATCCGAATAACTTTTGTTATATCTGTTATGTCGTAGTGATGCAACGCTACGCTTATTATTGTGTAAAAAATGGCGACCACGACAAGTCCTCGCCTCCTCATACAGTTTGTTCCGTTTGCGTTTCAAGCATTGGCCAAAACTGACAAAAAAGTAGAAAGAAATGTTTATGCTTTGGTGTTCCTATTGTATGGTGAGAGCCTAAAAATCACAGTGATGGTTGTTATTTTTATTCGTGTAATGTGCAAGGATTCATGAGAAAAAATAAGAAACAAATTGTGTATCTCAATCTTAACTCTGCTATTCGACGAGTTCCTCACGGACCAGATGTACTAATACTTACCACCACAAAAGAACTAGAAAACGTCATATCGTCAGAATCAGAAGAATCTAATTCCGACACAGATGACTTACATTTCACTGCAAATTTCAGAGAGCCCGAAGTATTTAACCAGATCGAATTAAATGATTTAATTAGAGATTTGCACCTTCCAAGGGATGCATCCGAATTATTAGCACCCAGACTTCGGGACAAGCTTTATTGGCACCTGACATCGAGCTGACTAGAATCCTAACTAGAAATCCAATTTTTTACTGAATAAAAAAACAAACTATTTTAAAAATATCGTTTTTTTTCCCTTTCATATTTCCAAAAAAACCTTACGTCAGTCTGCCAAAATTCTTTCAATCAGTTTTCAAAATAAAAACATCTGTCAAACAGTTTACTTTTGTAGAGCCGTGTAATTTGCAGTGTAAATAATATGAGGAATCGTATTTTGGATCAATACCTTAATTTTTTTTTGAAGATTATCAATGAGCCAAAAACAGTTTCTGATTCGATGTGGAAATAAATATGAAAAAAAAAATTAATATTGCTTATACTACTTTTATAAATTTGCTATTAGATACTATTAGGTACTATTGTCTTTGTAACTAGTGCTGGCAGAACCGGTTCAGTTTGCGGTGTTTTTGAGTTTTAACTGACGATCAACGGCGCGGCGTGGCGATGTTCGTGAAATATCAATTAAAACATTTTGGAAGATTTAAACTTCCAGCCAGGATATGGAGAGAAAACAGCAAAAAAAAGTAAAATAAGACATAATTTCCGATGGCGCATTACAAAATATTTTTACACACGAATACACGAAAACGATTCGGATAACATTTCGTTGTTATCATTATGTGGCGTTAATAATTAAGTTACATAGCCTTTTCGAGGGTTGTTTTGCAATTACCGATATAGGTCACCCCATCGGGGTAAAAATATACAATTTCGATTATTATGCATATATGTAGGTTGGTTAGTTAATTGGAAGCAAAAGTTTTTCGTTATACTTGAAGCATTCAAAACTGAGTGCGACAAAGATGAGTTAATTCAATCAATTCAAGCTAATCCGCACCGTGAACAATTGAGCATTTGCAAAATTAAAGTCTACTAAAATTTTGAGATATTTTATCCAATTTATTTCGGAATCTATAAATTAAATATTTACCTTTGATTTATAAATGGTTGCTAGGACACCAGCTGCTATTTCTAAAGCCAAGATGACGATCAGCAGAATACCATACTGGAAGAAAATATCATTATAATGATATGATACAAACGAATTCAGGAAAGGCAAGATTGTAAAAAAATATACACAAAAACGTTAAGCCAATTGAAATACTTATTCCGGTTTGGTATAATAAACTTACAGTTGTCAGCATGCATTGGGACTCCCTCAGGGCCCCACAATATCCCAAGAAACTCACAAGGAACATGCATCCTCCGATGGCTATCAGAATGTAGGACGCTTGGTCTATTATTCCGGGCTGTGCCAATCCCTTAAAAATCAACAGTTAATAATAATTATTATAATTACTAAATAATTTTTAATTTAGTTTCTTTGCTAAAACCTAGCATTTGTATACATTTTATTGTCCATAGATCAAATTTTCAGTGTAATAGAAATATTATGCCGAGATTATTGAAATCTTCTATTCTTTTAAAACCTAGAAGTAACTGTGTCGCGCTTGAGGTGGACCATATTTTTTCTGTGGCAATTCCAAAGTTCTGTCTGATGCAGCTCATACATATTTAATATTAAGAAATTATTTTAATGGTGACTACGGTGAATAGGGAGATAGTCAGTACTGGGCAAGTGATTGGAAGCACTTAAATATAACTGGATTATTTTAAACATGGAAATGAAATTTGGAAGAGGGGACTAGTCCAATAAAAAAAACAAGTTCTAAGTAAAGAATCATATAAGGTATATTAAACTATTAAAGATTTAGACATTATGTTCCAACAATCAAATAATCATCATTTATTGTTGAATCTGTTAATATCAATATCACAATCAATTAAACTTCTATATTAGGAAGTATGAACATTATGTATTTCGTTTAGTTTTTTACTTCACGAATTCTAATTTGGTTGCCTCTACAGTAAACTTGAACACGTTAGGACATGCACTTGTAACAGTTTTAATTAGGTACAGTTACATCATTCCTATTGTTAAGTAGGCATCTATTACGTTAGTTTTATTTGTTCTATTCGTATACGTGGTTAATTCTCCATGAAAGTGAAAGTCCACGGCAGGTATAGTTGTTTAAGAACCGCTACAATTTTTTAATTAATTAAAATTTCACTTTCCGTTAGAAATGTTCGCGCAGTTCGTTCTATGCTTGCAGTTTTTATTAACCCAATGTTTAAAGTCGCGTACTGAATATTTTATTAAACTTTTTAAATACCTTCGACGGTATTACGGTCATTGTGATTCTACTGACGAAGTCGAGATAGGATATGCGCCATTAACGCATTTATATTTTGATCTGGTCGTCCGTCGTCACGAATTCCGTTTTATCGGTCCCCTGAGTATGATTTCATTTAAATTTTTTACTGAATACCTGATGGTATGATTAAGCCATTAACAGATGTTGTTATCGCTAAAATCCTTAGCACGTTGGAGAGGATTGTGAGATTGTTGATAAAAATAAATTACGTAAATTAGCAGTAACGGTATTTAGCATAGATATACGGGGTGTGTTAGAAGTGTGCACACAATGCTATCTGAAAACATGTATTAGCAAAATAGTATATAATTCAACAAAACTAACGACCCTTTGTTTTGGTACGAGTGCAGCGATCAATGGTGCATACTATACTATTTCTACGACTGTCACATTTTTGCAACAAAGTGATAAACGTCAAAACACTATCAATTTTAAAAGTCTACCGAAAATCTTTGATGGCACCGAAATCCACACTCCCCACACACAATTACGCCTTAAAGTGACAATTGGTACAGGACTGGTCAGTGCATGATATTTTAGAGAGAGAGAGAGACAGAGTAAACAAAAACGTTCAAAATTTAAAACATTTAAAACCCAACGAAATTTAAATTATTTCCTTTTTTATACATTTTTATTTGGCTTAATTTTTGTAGTTAATTGCTGTTAACTTTATTAGACATTTTTGTATTCTTGTGTTGATAACGCATTCTATATTTACTAAAATTTTCCATGCTAATTTGACAATATTCTGCTGATAGCAAACTTCATCAGAAATCATAACAAATTTTTGGAGAAGTTCGGAATAGCAAGTCAGTAAAGTAAATAATATTTACAAATGTGGTTATATCCGTCTTATTAAATTAGATTTGATGTCATCGTGTAATACTAAAACTCTAAAATGTATTTTGCGCTTTTCGTTCTCTAACAAAGGCTCAAAAAAACTAATCAAAACTATTCGGACTGGTCCCGATGTAAACAACGCTTAGATCAAATATGAGACCGGCAATCAGCTTTCAACGCTATGAAGATCGGTTGAACATGTTAAGAACGCGCAAAGAGTTAAATATTTTTTTCCAAAACGATTTTTTCCATTAGGAAATAATTACTTGAGGACTATCCATTTCAGACCTAATTAAATGATTACTAATGCAAAAAAATGAAATATAAAAGTTGCCGTTCTGACCACACAGTAACAACTAAAACCATTGTATTATCCATGAGTAAGTGCTATTTTATATAGAAATACTCACACTCACTCAAACACATTTTAATGTTTTTCATAACACTGTTAGATTTCCGTACAACGGATTATTTTTTCTCAGCTCATGACGGAAGTTCTTATAAAAGTTTATTACTTTTGATGAAACCGAAGCATATTGCGCTATTAACCAGGTTTAAAGTTTCAAAAACGTTGCCATTTCGTACACGGAGTACATCAAGCGTATCTTCTTAATAACCTCTTAAACCAGAAATTATCCGTTTTGTTGCTTCAATTACTAAATACATGTTTTAAATTAAATTTCCTTTTGAAATGTCCGCAAAATGGATCGGGAGTTGACTACGTGACTTTTAAAACATAAAAATGATGAAATTATATACAGGTTGTTGCAAACACAGTTCCCCCGGGGCTATTTGAAAAAACGATGTCGAAAATTATGCTATAAAATTTGTACACCGAATGTGAACTCAAATTAGTTTTATACAGTTTCACGGTGTATACTGGGCGCACCAGTAAGAACAACGAAGTACGATTTCAGAAAAACGGGCAGTTCTACAAATTTGAAAAAAAAAGTAAATTGGCAAAACGCAAATGTTGGAAATTATTTTTGTTCGTTTCGGAAAAGGGCACCGGGGGGCTTAATTGCCATTTTGATTTCTACAACTGATTTTCTGCAAAACTTTGTTATCTTAAGAATAGTTAGAGCGAACGCTGTTTTAAAGCTTAGACAAATTGAAAGAGTCAGGTACTAAAATTAATTTTCAATGAAAAAATAGGTGATAATAAATTATTGAGAATGCGTAATTATTAAATCTTCAAGGAAGCCGTCGAAGAAAGAACAGAGGGTGTAATAGCTAATGGAATCGTCACCAACAATCTAAGATACGCTGACAAGATGGTCTTATTTGCAATAGATAAGGATGATTTACAGCTAATTTCATCAGCGGTAACAGACCATAGCCAATAAATAGGTCTGCGCTTAAATATAAAGAAAACCAAATGGATAGGCATCAGCAAAAACAAAATCATAACTCATAATTTTTCAAAGAAACTTCCACAGACTACTGTAATAGTTTTTACAAAACTTCTGGATTCCTCCTGCGTCGGTTTTTGCTGAGTTCAACTTGCTGACGTTTCGCCAATCATCCTGTTGGCTTCTTCAGAGCTTGACTTAAACTGGCTCGTATTTTACTCTGTACCTGCTTATATATTGTTTGAGGGGGGCGGAGAGCTAAATGAGGGGCATAAACACAGTCTTGGTCATCCAATCCTGATTCCCATAGAGACCTGAGTCTTGGTTAAGATTGTTAGGTTCTTTATAGATTTCTATAGACTCTCGGATCTTTCGTTGGTAAAAGAACTGATTACATGCAAGAATTTTAATTTTATCGAATAAAATTTCATGTCCGGTTTCATGAGTGTGTCCGGCTGATGAGTTTATTTGTTTTAGTCGTAAGGCTCTTTCGTGTGGTAAGTAAGTGGTAAATCTGGTTTTGACGTTATACTTCTTTAGAATTTTCGATATGTGGTCAGTGATGTTTTGAATGTAAGGAAGGACCACAGTGGCAAGTGTAGGATTGCTTTCGGCCTCATTGCTGTTGGAAGGTTGTGGCGAAGTGTATTTTTTGATGGGACGCTTAATATCTTTAATATGGAAATTATTAGAGAGAACAGCAGATGTAAGGTGTTTTAATTCTGGGTTCAGTGACTCGGGCTGAGATAGTTTTACGGCTCTGTAAAGAAGAGAGTTGATAACCGATGAGTAGGTTTTCTGTAAACACAATGACCCAATGTTAGGTCTGATTTTCTATTGATAAGAATATCTAAGAATAGAAGGCTATTCCAACTCAATGCTAAAACGTATGTGATGGTGTATAGAGTTTAAATGTCTAAGAAAATCTACTAGGGTTTCTTGACCATGAGACCAAATAACAAAAGTATCATCGACGTAGCCTTTCTATAATTTTGAATTTAGATGACAAGTGTCGAGAGCTTTCTTCTCAAAAGCTTCCATAAATATATTCGGGATGACTGGTGATAGCTGTTCCCCATGTTTGTCCAAAAATTTGACCATTATAAGAAAAATATGTTCGCGACAATCATTTTTCAATTAAGGTGAGAAGGTTTGGTTCCAGATTCTCGGATTTTAATATATGTGAAATGATGTCGAGAGTTTCAGGAATAGGAACTTTGGTAAAGTGAAAAGAATTAACGAACTAATAACTTAACAGATATACATCGTAAATGGAAAGATAATGGAGAGAGTACAAATATACAAGTATTTGGGGTGCCGGGTGAATGAAGACTACGTCTCAACTTAACAAATCAACAAGAGAATAGAGCAAGTAAGAACATCTTTTAAGAACATGCAAAATGTGTTCACCAGAAGAGCCTTAAGAATTCCCTTAAGAATACGCTTATTACGTTTGTATGTCTGTAGCATATGATTGTACGGTATGAAAGCATGGACCCTCACTGAAACAATGTGTGTAAGAGGATTGAGCCTTTCGAAATGTGGGTTTGCCGGAGAATGTTGAAGATATCATGGGTGGACAAAGTGAAGAATCAAGCGGTTCTCCAATATATGAACAAAGAAAGAGAGGTACCATTAAAAAAAGAAAGCTGGAGTATTTTGCGTACGTAACGTAATGAGAAACAAAAAATATGAATTGCTCCATATAATCATGCAAGGGAAAATAAAGGAAAAACGTGGCCAAAGAACGTCTGGGCTAAAAAAAAAATCTTCGTCAGTGGTATGTAGTAAGTGCCACCACATTGTTTAGATCTGCTGTGGACAAAGTGAAGTGCGACTGATCACCAATGTTCTGCGAGGACACGGCACTTGAAGAAGAAGAAGGATATTAAAACGTAGTGATCACGAAGCGAATGTAATGCAAAAAAAGTAATAAAGATACCTAAATAAAGAAATCTTATTTAAATTTTAAATATTGTTTATCATTCTCTGAATATCAAATTAGTGCTTTATTTGGCAACCTGGAGATAAATTCAGTATAGCGTAAAAAAATATTGAGATGCGGTTTCTTGTGACTCAAAAGTAATATATTTTTCAAGAATTTTTTTTCTTTTTGCGATGTCTGAGGCCATAATAGTACAATGGATAGCATGATAAAAGTCCCTTTTAATGACTATTAAGTTTATTTTCGAAAATGTTGAATTTAATATTCGCGTTAAAACAGCATTCGTTCTAACTACCGTTAATATAAGAAAATTTTGCGGGAACGGGTTTTTGAAAATCAAGATGACATGGTCGCCATTACATAAACTCAAAAATAATTTGTAGTATTCTCTTATCCGATTTATTTCTTTTTTTTATTTCTAGGACCGTCCGCTTCTTTTATACAGCAACTCACTGTCTTTACTGGAACAGCGAGGATATTTGGATCCGCGGTTTTTGTATTTTAGATTACTAGGTCGAACTTTTTAAAACTTCGCGCACGACACTCAAAAGCACGGGCAATGTGTTTAGTAAAAAGTATCCATAGGAACTATCAGACCGATGGAAAAATACTTTGACCTACTGACCTGTCCGGATAATTATATATATCTTCTTCGAAAATTTATCGATTTTTATAGGGAACATTAATTTTTCATATGAGCACATTCAATATCGCCCTTACGTTTTATGCGTTCCATTTGTAAATGTATTGTGACACAGAAATGGAGGTTAATTTATAACGAACTATTAACTCCTTTTATCGAAAATGCATGCGATTTTGACTACGCGGAATGAACCTACGCTGTTACTTATATCTAGAATGTCATGACCCAATAAAAGTCGATAATTTAACCAATTAACGCAGATCTCGCAGGTACATAGTACATTCCACACCAAGAGAAGGCGTGAATTATTGCTAAGTACGTATGTACCAGAACCATGGCAAGTTAAACTAACCTGTATTTCGTCGACTGGCACCACCTTACTAAGTCCGATAAAGGAACTCTTGTCAACTAGAAGCCAAACCCCAATCCCTAATACAATGGTACCGGCTATCTGAAATAAGAAAAAGTGTTTCAATATATAAATATTTTATTTTGTGGTCTACAAGTCAAAGTTTTCTTTCCGTAGGCGATATATCACTGAATAAACAAATCAATCTTTATTTTGTCAATTCTTTCTTTAACATACTGGAGATTGGTTATCAAAACGACAAACATTTTACCCAACAAGATGTAAATTCGAATAGATAATAATAAATAATAAAATAATGAAACACGAGGCAATTTTACAGAAATAGTATAAGCATTAAAACGAAAATATTAGCACTGATTGACAATTAACAGCAAATTGAGAGCAGATTAAATAACTACTTTTCGGTGCTCTGGTGACACGGCGAGATACCATGAAAGGAAAACAAATAAATAAAAACTGTTAAATGGAAATTGGAAAATTGCTCGATTTTGAAATTGTTTTATGTATTTCTTCAAATTTTCACCAATACGGTATGATAGTTTTATTTGTTTTTAAACTTTTGAAAACTCTTCCTAAAAGAAATTTTTGTTACTAATTTTTTTTTATTTCGTTTTTTTTAATCTCAGCTTATATCGATTTTTCTTTATTTGCTTTGTCATGCAGCGATCATTATTGCAGATTTAATAACATTTTCATGATACTGCGAAAGTTTTTCTAATTAAAAATGTTTTGTTTAAACCTTTTTGTATATATATCGTTTGAAACTGCCACTACATAAAATATTTAAATAGCGACTAGGTGCGAAATTTACAAAGCGCTATACCATCTTGCATCGATGGCAATATTTCAAATCACACCGCCAGGCCAATAACCGAAGATACAAAATGCAATCTGTATAGATTAATGTTCGACTGCAGTTTGATCATTTATAATTTCAAAAGTTAGTAACCTCATTCGACATCTTTGCGATCAATTGGTGCAACTAAATGAATTATGATTTAATTAACGCTTTATAGACAAACGAGGTCTTGAAAATATTTCCATAAACTTTAAGGCCTAGTTTCTTAACCTCACACATACGCGACCACTTGTAGATGTTTGTCGGATATCACGCTTATCATAAGAGATAGAAGATTGCTGTGTTTGCAGTCCTATTTCAGTTATATTAAAAGAAGATACTACTGAGAAACTTTTCATAGCTCACTTAACTTTTTGTATATAGAGCAAAGTTGAATTTTTGTTTTGTTTTTTTTTTTTTTTAATGCAACGCTCTGTATGAAACTGTTAAATTTCACACAACACAAGCAAAAATTTCAATTTTATTTTGATTGTCCAAAACGAAAAGCATACTTATATTGCCATTTTTGTTTGCCGTTAAACAATGATGCTTTCAAAAATTACTACAAAAACTTTGTATGGCATTGGCTCCAACTAAATAATAAATATAAACAAAATAAAACAAAATATGGCAACAAAATTAGAATAAAACGAACTAGAAGAAAATAAAAACCAAATCTTAACTTTCGTTTTTTCGAGGATATTTGTCGAAGCACCGAAAACCTTAAAAGTTTCTAAAGAAATAATAATAGATGGCGCCATTTAGTAACGCTTATCCCGCTCAGTGGCACTAATACTGGAAGATGATATTACTCTGCTTATTTTAAATGCCATAGAAATTCAGACAAGTATGAAAAATGTGTGGATTGCTACGATTTGACAATCGTTGACAACAATCATGCCGATACTTTTAAATTATACACATCAAGGTCACTTGAATTTGTTTATTATTTATGGATAATGTTATACCAACGGTTTTACAGAGAAATTGACATTTTTTAATTTATTTTTAATGATGATTTTTTCATCAACTTGCGACAATTGCCAGAATTCCTCAAAAAATTGCCACAAAGGCATTTTTTTTTAAAGTTAGTCACACACAAATGTGTCCACAACGCAAAGAATACCCAATTTTTCCTAATTATTGCGCTTGCAGCGACAAAATATTTAAGTATATATATGAAATAATCAACTAAACTAATTGAGCACGAATTATTTATTATTACATTATTTACATAAAATTCCGGCTATTCGCTAGTCTGAGAAACGCTGCAAGTCTATAAAACCACAAACGCACATGTGTACAACGGAAATGACAAATACATATAAAGATATTATTGTTGTGCGTGACTGATCCAATATTATTGACAATAAATGCAATTTCTCGCTGATCGATTGAATTAAAAATTTAGGGGAGTATCGGAAACCGCAGTTGAATAAAATACTAATCTGAGGCAATGTCCTTTGGTTTCTTTTAAATATTCAATATCTAGAGTTCCGTTTATTGGGGACGATGAAAACGTTGGACATAATACCAGTTGAAGAGAAGAGTAGAAAAAGAAAAATTGAGACAAAATCTTAATTTAAAAAAGGACTGCTAAAAGAACGTCGAAACAAAAAATTTCGGGATTTCGCATATTTTCGGTATACTATAGTTCGAATTTATACAAAGAACCCGTACAGTGGAACAAAAGATGACGTAGAGTGTGAATCAGACAATTAATAAGTGACTACACCAACAAAGCTATTATACGAATGGATGATAATTTAATGTTCTAAAGAATTTGAGGTTTGTTTTTTAACATTTGTTATCTTTTTAATTTTGTTATCTGCGTTTTTGATCATTTTTTTCCCTGTAATGGAATGCGGCGACGCTCTTAAATGAGGTGACATTTCGACCTTTAGATAAAAATTGTCGATATCCTATAGAAAATGATATCGAGGTATCTGATAAAAATATCTGACTGGTCACAACGTATTCTAGATATGGGTGAGTCACTTTTAGAGAGTTCTTTCAGTGTTAGTGTTTTAGTGTTTCAGAAAAACGTTGACATCAATCTAAAAAAACCCATTTTTTTCAAACTCATCGAAAACCTGTACAGCCTATTTCTATTTAACTGATACGAGTTAGTGTGGCGTATTTTAACGTCAGATATATATTGCATAGGCACACTTGTACTTATATTTGTTTATAATGTAATATATGTAATAATATGACTCCGCACAATAGGGAATTTTTTGTGTAATTTTTTGTCAACAAAATTTACACGGAATTGGGATTTACCTTGTAGCACATAATTAAGTAGATAACAGATAACCAAAACGATGGGTAATTAATGTGTTAATGAATCATGTCCGCTTTATAATAGCACTTATAAAAAATTTGCTGTACTCGTATTGTATATGGATGTTGCGCAGTGCTGTTGTAAAAATTTATGCTTGGCAAATATGATCGTCTTAATACAATGCTAATAATGGATTAGTGACGAACGTCATAACCACCCATAAGTGTAAATTTTGAGAATTGTAATTATGGTATTCCATTGGAATTTTAGCATTGTTTATAATAAATTATATTGTTAAAATAACAATAACTTTTTACATATGTACACTCAAAGCCGATAAAACTTTAATAATGAAAAATATATTACGCAAAAATCATTAGGGACGACAAAACCCACAACTAACATACATCATATATACTTTCTTTTATGAAATTACTCAGGCAAAAAAATTTTTTTTCATAACCCGGAATTAGTCCTCTACAAAAATGTTAATAATTTCTTTGTAACGACCTATTTTTAGATATTAGACATATATAATTAAAAATAAAATGGCGTTTATAATTACATTCCTGGTAAATTTTCTTAGTATGCGATAACAAATGTATTTAAAAATGTATAAACTTGAAAATGCACAGTGTGCAAGTGTACGTTTAAAGTCTACACCATTAAGATTGGAAAATAGGAGATAAGTACCTACACCATTACGGAAAAAGTGTAAAAAGAGACTTGTAACTTGTTCATGAAACCTACTAATATATGCATCCCAACATTTTACTAAAATTATCAAAACTTGACTATCAAACGATTGTTTATTTTCTTACGAACCTTATAAGCACTTTGTAGTGAAACTAGCAAGGTAGTTTTAGAGTTTGTAAGAACTGTAATATCTGAAAAATACCTATCGGAAATTGGTTTGTATTCTGTAATTATTATCGTCCCAATCGATTTAAGAAATTTGTCGTATTCCTAGGATGCTACAAAGGTTAAGATACATAAATTTATTTATTTGTTTTAATTGAAAAAGGTATGTACGTTCATAAAATTCAGTGCCAGCTTTATAGAAAATTTATACTTATTTAATGTTAATATAGGACATACCTAATTCCCTGGAAAAATCTGTAAATTGTATTATCCACGCTTAAGTAACACCGCGAAATCTAAAAATAGCAAAGAACCGTAGGTAATCACAATGCCGAAAGGAGTAGTTTACACTATCATTAACTTATAATTTGAACAAATACGATAGACACACTTACGAAAATTATAAAATTAAATGCGCATAACACGTATTTCACCATGCAGGCTCCGCAGTCATAAACCATGTTGAATAAGTTCTTGTGTAGATGGTTTTGCTCTGCAACAAAAATAAAAATAATTTCTTTCAAGTGCCAAACGTGAATGACAAACGTTAACCTATTCTTTTTGTACTTCAAAATTGCCATTCCTTAAAGCACACTTTACAAAATATCGTTTAAAAGTTTTAAGGTACTCTTCGAAATAGCGCGCAGCCCATACAGCAATTGATTCAAGCACAAAAAAGAAGAATACAGACATAGGACCCAGATATTCCATATACCTTGTCACCGTAAAAATTGTACAAACTGTACTTTAGCCCTTACTGATTAGTAAGTATAGTCATCTGGAATTTTTTAGCATTAAGAGACAATTCTTGCGACAGCTTTGTCAAATATCTTGGCCTTAGCGTTATTTATCAATTTATAAAATTGCATTCATTTCATTTGAACTGATTCGCTTATTTCTTAATGTGCCTGGTGTTGGTATTAGTATAAGTATTAGTTTAAATTATTAGATTACCGTTTAATATAGTGTGTATAATAATGGACACTGTCCTTCAAACAATAAAAAGATAGAAATATTTTGCTATCTGCCCATAAGTCACATTGTATTTTGAATAACATTTTAATTAGGTCTGATGACTGTTCGAATGCAGCTTTTGAAAAGTTGCGGGAGACTTGCTCAGGCGGGAGAGTTGAACCATGGTTCCAAAATTCAGTTGAAATTTTACGCTTGCGCAGAATGTCGATTATAAATTTGTTCGGCTACTAGGATTTGAACGTACTTTTGCATAGATTATATATTTAATTACAGTTAATAATATAGAATGAAATTACAAAGTACATACCCGGTACCTTACTTGGAAGTAAACAACAAAGAAAAAAAAAAGAACAAGAGAATTAAAAAATATCATCTGTGAAATATAGGAGCGCAATTCCAAGAAAATAAAAGAATTCCGAAAACAGAAGGTAGGCAATGCTAAGAAACGATTATTTTAGAAAAGTGTCGCAGAAGCGGAAAATCAAAATTGCACAAAGAAGTTCCAAAACAAGAATAGTTTCATGATAATGTTTAGAATAACTAATGGTTCTGATTGTTAACATGCTTAATTTTGTTAATTTGCTGTAATTTGTTTAAAAAAAATTTAGCACTAAACTGTTAAAAAATATGCTTTGTTTTGAGTTTATTTATGTACGATAAGAACCGTCGGTGGATAATTTTAAGAGTTAATAAACACATAATTAACAAAATAGGATGGTCAATGTTTCCAGATCTCGGTTCAATAGTTCCCAATTTTAAAATTTAAAAAAATAAAAAAGAACATCAAATTCACGCCCCAAATTTCCAAAGTTAATCGGCAAAACCGATTTCAGGCGGGCCAAAGAATGAAGAAATGCTTGACGCTACGTTGCATGACCGGAAAGGAATGTTATTTTGGTTTTGTTGTCCTCTTATCGTCTTGGATGGATGCTGCATTGTTGTTCAGGTATATAAAACCGAGCAGGTGCACTTAATTGAGATTACAGCGACCTCGAAATATGTAGCTCCATTCTCTCTTATAATTTGGGACTGACGTTGTATTGTTTTTGAACTCAAAACCTTTTGTCTTTCCATTAAATCTAAAGCGAAAATCCACATTTCCGGAGAGTTGAACCAGATGACGTGTATAATTCGAATTGTTTACGTAAATTTTTACTTAGCGTAAAAGTTTACTGAATTATCTATGGCTGAACTACACCAATATATCGATAAGACATTAAAATGGCTACGTTATTAATTTAAGTAGCAATTTTAAGATTGTGTGTGTGTTACAAGCTGTTAAAGATTATCTTGAATTTCCTACTTACAAAAGTTAATTTATTTTACTACTACAAAAAATGACGTAATTAATTAATTAAAAATTACCCCTTCATTCTTTTATACGTGTTGGTTAATAAAGCGTTTTCCAAAAATAAATGTGCAATTGACTCTAATTAGTGGAATGGCTGAAGTGAAATATACCGAGTTCGCACCTGGATTATTTAATTGATTTATTCGAAGAAGGGTTTATTCATAAATACACCACCAACACAAATTTCGCATAATAATTAGTTCACATATTACATTAAATTGAGAAGTAAAAGGTTAAAATTAATTATTTAAACAAAGTAAGTGCGTTTACATTCCTTGCTTTTACCAAGGCCTCTTAGGTAACTATCATTGTCTAAAAACTATAGCAAAAACACTTTTTCTAGATTAAAAAACACTAACTATATGCAAGTAAAGTTTAAAATAGATCGATGAATGGTACCATATCAGGGCTTTCAGGAGTTACAAGAAGTAGAAGTAGGAGATATCGTTAGGTATTTCAAAATGTGCGGTATTTACTTCTTTTTATTGGGGTTGCTTGTGGGAAGGAGATAATTCCGTTAAGAAGAAGAAACTTTTCGAGTCATCCAAACAAGTTCCAAATCAGGCTTTAATCTTTGTGGAACGAACAAAAATATATTAGCAAAGGTTCTTTCAAGAATGGATATAAAGAAATTTGACAGCCTAATTTCAAGAAAGTTTAGATTGCTAAAGTAACAAAACCACGGAAATAGTCTACCGTTCATTTCCGATAAAAATTTTCGCGTAAATCGAATTTAACCAAGATATTTTTAGTGAAAGCAACGGACAACAATAAAATTGGCCGTTAAAAAAATTGCGCTGCGTTAGGTAACATTTACAAGCTTTATTTATTTATTTTTTTTAATTGGCAAATTTTTCAACCGCTATAAATTACCGCAACCAAAACAAATACTCACAATTTAATCGGCACATGTATGCTTTAAAAAGCCCGGCAAATGTTTAACTTTTTACCGATCGGGTCCGAAGGCAAGCGTATCCGATCAACACGTAGAAAAGGTTGCGATCGTTATTCAAGCGACCGAACGTTTCCTGCGTTTTATCAAAGCAGGCGCGGAACACTGAACTGAACAACACGATTTCGGGATCAGCGTGAAGCCCGCGGTCGCAGCATGCTGCAACCTACCACTAAAAACTGCTTAGAAAGAAAATAGGAGGTATACTACGGCGGACTTATGGAAGGTATTACTAAGGAGGTCACAGGAACCATTCCGAGCATTAGATTTTAGTATAAAGTATACGGACGGCGCATTATTGCCGTGAAAAAGATTAACGTTTTAGGCAATTGTTTTCTTCATTCAATCGATTTTGAGACAATGCGGGTCACAGAATAATAACATATCCAATTATTTGTCATAAATTATCTGATCTTTAGGTGTGTGTGACAGGAGAATAAAACTACACATTTTGGTTGATCATTTTTGTACCAAATTTCGATAAAAATGAAAAAACATTAAATTTTGTCACTATTGAAGCAAAAACTAACCAAAAGAAATTCATTCCCTAATAATTCAAAAACTTTTTCATCAACCTTTTTGAAAAATTGACTGCAAGAAATATATTCGTTAACTAAAAGTTAATACAATATTAATGTTTTAAATGTATAAAGAAGTATATATATTATCTACGGTGCAGTTTAATTTAATGTCTGTGCTGGCTAACTTGGGAGTACCCGGTTTATCTAGCAACTTATATCACTCGATGTTAAAGCCATATGATACAAAATTTTATCAAAATTGACGTGAGAAGTAATAATACTAATTTTAGAACTGACAAAGAAACTGTAAAAAAACGCATAAGTTGCATTCAATTCAAATGTATTCACTGTGTGTATGGATAGAAAATGTTTTGAAAGTTTAAAAATAAGATGATTTTACTGTTACTGATATTTATGTACCTTTAAACGGTAAATAGAAAGTATTAGTCATATACATATTTTCAGGAAAGAAAATTTTTGAAAATTTCTCACTTGTAACTAAATGCACTTAAATGCTGAGCAACAGAAAACTATCTGGGGCCTAAATTTAAAAAGATTTAAAAAATAACTAGTGATTAATTTTTAGAGCCCACACTTTCAACTCATAAATTAAATAATGTATGAAACAAATTAAAAATTGCAATTACATATTTGAAATGAGTTTGCACGTATGATATATTGCAACTAGTTGGCCTGAACAAGCATATTAAGTCAAAACATAATTTTGAGTTAAATACTTATGGGCAGTTTGAATATTAATTTGCTTATCGTCAACAATTATGTGGCAATATTCCTCTGTTAGTTCAACATGTTATTAAAATACAAAACAACAGCATTAAACCGCTTAAGTTGAATAGGCTAAGTGACGTCTGATGAACAGCTGATGTTACATACACCCCTCATCAACTGCCACTCATTGTAGTGCATATATTATAAAACTACATATATAAATAGACCAAATAACTACTAGAGATATAGGCCCTGCCCTTGCCTTATGTACTGAAAATTTTAACTTAAAAGAAAAATGGGCTTATATTGTTTGCAATGGGCAAATACTCTGAAAATCCCATCTAACTATACATCAAAATCTGAAATCCGCAATGGGCGGATGCCGCTAGTTAATGTTTAACCTAGAATAAAACGAAAGAAGAAGAACTTTTCTACGGCATGTAATGTGGTGTGTTTGTAGGTTATTGATAGTATATTAAGTTTTTTATATTGAGAGCATTTTTATTGTAATTATATTTTTTTACATTTATTTTTCTTCACAAATAAACCTAGATTCAATCAATTATGGAGTATTTAAATGATTTCCCTGAGCAACATTTAGTCAAGACCATGTGAGTTTGCTTTTGAGATTTTATTATTGTTGGTTTATGGAACTTATTTATATTTCTTTTAGGCATTGCTGCAATTGTGGGCTATCAATTGAGCCAAATCCTTCCAATATGTGTGTGGGCTGTTTAAGACATGAAGTAAACATTACTGAAGGTATTCCAGAACAAGCAACACTCTATTTTTGTAGAGGATGTGAGAGGTATTTGCAACCTCCTGCAGATTGGATCCATTGTGATTTAGAATCCAGAGAATTATTGGGGTTATGCCTAAAGAAGCTTAAGGGTCTAAGTAAGGTTAAACTAGTTGATGCAAGTTTTGTTTGGACCGAACCACATTCAAAAAGAATAAAGGTATGCTTTGGATTTTTTATTGGAAAATTGGGTATTGCCCAATGTGTGTGACTATTCTGTTTTTAATTTAAACCCTTGGTTCAATTTAGGTAAAATTGGTTGTTCATGCAGAAGTGATGGGTGCAGTACTCCAGAAGCAATTTGTAGTTGTATACACTGTAAATCATCAAATGTGTGATGACTGTCATCGTTCAGAAGCTAAGGATTACTGGAAGGCGTTAGTCCAAGTGAGGCAAAAAGCTGAAAACAAAAAGACATTTTATTACTTGGAACAGCTTATCCTTAAACACAAAGCACATGAACATACATTAGGAATTAAACCTGTTCATGGTATGATCCCAACATTTTGTTTTATTTTACTATTAAATTGAACAAGGAATCTTGGTGTTTTCCAGGTGGTCTTGATTTTTTTTATGCCACAGAGGCACATGCAAAAAAAATGATTGATTTTCTGAGTACAGTACTTCCCTGCAAATATCAGCACTCAAAAAAACTGATATCCCATGATATTCATAGCAATATTTACAACTACAAATTTACATACTCTCTGGAAATTGTTCCTATATCTAAAGACAGTGTAGTGTGTTTGCCAAAAAAGTTAACTCAGGTTTTGGCAGGTATATCCCCAATTTGTTTGATTTACCGAGTTACTAACACATTGCATTTGATAGATCCATCCAGCGGTCAAAGTAAGTATATGTCGATAACTAGTTGTGATTCTGATAGTAATTCTGATATTTTAGTTGCAGAATTGAACAGTGTTACTTATTGGCGCAATCCATTCAATGCAATATGTAATCCCAAACAGTTAGTTGAATATGTTGTGATGGATATTGAACCCATCATGGACAAAGATAGGAAATTCTTTCCTGGGCAAGGAACAATTTCTCAAAAACATGTTCTAGCTGATGTATGGGTCGTTAAAGCGTCAGAACTGGGTATAACAGAGAATACCATACATTCAAAGACCCATTTAGGGCACATCTTAAAACCTGGAGATTCTGTGATGGGGTAAGTAAATGTTGTGTAATAAATAATGTTTACTTAAAATTATGTTTAGTTACAATCTCCAAGACAGCAACATAAACGATATGAGCTTTGATAGTCTGGACAGAGACAACATCCCAGATGTGATTTTGGTTAAAAAACACTTTGGCGAAAGAGCTGCAAGGAGGCGTCAGAGAATTTGGAAGTTAAAGAGATTGGCTGAAGATGATATGGGTTTAAGTGTTGATGGAAAGTTAGTAGCTAGTTGAAATATTACTTTATTTTATTTGAATCACTTGTTGTTCTTGGGGTGTGTTCTTCAGATTGTATTTAAAATTTTATATTTTTTAGTGATTTTAATGAGTTTATGGATGACCTGGAGGAAGATCCAGCTTTACGAAAAAATATAAATATATTTAAAGACAACAGTAAGCCGATCGCAGTTGACTCCAATGATCTTGATTATGATGCTACTATGCCGAGGATTACCTTGGAAGAAATGCTAGATGATCTGGTAGTGGATGATGTTGAAATGGCTGAGTAAACCACATAGTTTTACTTTTTATCTAATGTTGACAATGAAAGCAAGAAATATGTAAAAATAAATGATATATTGTTAAATTTATTCCACGTTTTAATTTTCAAAATCCCACCACCAAGTTACAAAGGTAGTAGTTATAACATTATATTAAAATTAAAATTATTTAAATTATTAAAAAAAATGTATTATGCGTGACAGCCTCTTATAAATTATCCAATAGAAAAGACCATTAAATAGTTGCAGAAGCTTCACATTGGCAGGCTCTGTAGCTGCAATACATAGGCAACCAGATTTACGTTTTTGATTAGAGTGAACACTTAGAATAACTGTCACTAATGTCAGTATCCGATAATAATATAATTTTAGCATAGAGTAACGAATATTTCCCAGATCGATAATTTTAATTTTATAGGGTTAGTAGGAGAACTAGATTTATGCATTTTGAGTAATCCTGCACCGACATTTCTGATTGACCAATTGCTTTTTCCATTTCATCAGTGTCTTAATGTACCAAACAAATTTTATTAATTTTAATTGACAAATACAATCCCAAATAAAACTTTATTTTTATGAATATTGACAAGACAAGAGCTTAATCGATGGCCCTAATTTCTTTCTTATTTCGACAAGAACATGCTCTGCCTTTTTACTACATACGTATTAAACAGTACCTAGATGCTTTTTACATGAAATAAATCCGTGTGTAGATTCAGAATTTTAAGAAGCATTTTTCTTTATAAAGATATATATTGCATTGTATTATTGTGTTCTGCAACGTGCTGAATTTGATGAACTGTTACGCGATTTAGTGAAATTAGGAATACCTATTTATCTTTTACTATGACCATGTGGCTCTAGGTACTTGTCTGGTGAATTATAGAAAACGCTTCATGAGTTTGTTTCCCTTTTTAACGACTCAAGTTTTCCACACTCCGCTATCCTGCTTAGCGGAAGCGTGTTCCGATTCACTATAAGCTTCATTGTGGGTACGTAATAATTTACTAATGTCCTCACGAGATTAAGTTTTTCAGTACCTGATGTTGGTTGCTTAGTTTTGTTCACAATTAGTTGTTTTTTGTTCAACGAGCATTTTCGATTATTTGTGTGTATTATTTTAAATTTAATGTGAATATTGCAAATAACAAAATGTACATGTGTTTTAGAAAGCATTTCGTGTTTTTCTAAAATATTGATTTCATTTTGTTTTGTAATTGAAAGAGTTCTAGTATATTTTATAATTTTATATGCGAATTCCTATTTGCAAAAATTTGAAAATTCTTTCCATCGATTATTTTACTAGCTATATGATTATTGAAAAACATTAATTGCATAATCTAAGCCTATTGTTTTTTATTATATTAGACAATTTTCCGTTTTTCCTAAAATTTAATTTGAGCAGCTCTCTCTTCTGTTTACTAGAATAGTACGTCTGGGTGAATTTTCCTATTTACTTTATTTGGGTCATATTAAATTTTGACATTCTCCCCACTAAATTACAATTTGTACTTCTCGCTAGATCTCAACGTTTTAATAATTAGGTTAATTTAGGTGCGTTCGTAAAGTTTTTAATAACAAACTACACGTTGAGAAGCAATTAATTTACACCTCAGTTGGTGCAGTGTTGGGTTTTGTCTGCGCCAGACGTAGTCGAAATTCGGAACATATACCTAATTACGATATGATTTAAAACATTTCATGATTGCTGAAATACATCGTGGCTTCGCAGCTTTTATATACTGGAGAGCCCATCGAAAACACGGCTACCAGGAAGCGTATTTGTGCCAAAAAATCTTGGAACAACCAACCCCAAGGCTAAAATCTTGCCGAATTACAAAAAATGTAGTAACTATGCCCTGTTTCTTAATGCGACAGAGTTATATCATTCTGAACTCTAACAGTTAGTGGTTTTAGCTGTTTTTTATACGCGTAATAATATATTTACGATGATTGTCACGGGTCAAGAGTGGCAGACGAACAGACAGATAGTTGACTTAATTGTGGCTACGCACTCTAGCGTTTAAAATTAGAATTATAGTTACCTGTTGGAAAAGTTAGTTCTTGGAAATAGTGTTTCTGAATTTGTTGTTGAGAAACGGATTACTAAAACTCCACTTTATAAAAATGAGAAAATTATTATTCTCAATGTGTTCAAAGCTCTTCGCCACCGAAAACTTAACATTCGGAGCAAAGTTAATTGAAATATATTCGAATATGACTAGCGTTGGACTGTCAAAAATGTCTTGCGCACGAGGATAAACGCGGACCCATCAGATCACCAAAGGGAAGGAAACCATAGACTATAGAAAATAAACTGTAATAAATGAATATGAAAAGACTACCATCAGAAGAATAATATACTTGTTTCATTTTAAAAAGAACAACATAATTAACTAATATTATTTCACCAATGTATAAGAAGAAACTATGGAAAACTTAGAAGGAAATGAATTTTCATTAAGAGAAACCTCAAAATAGAAAATCACTCTTAGTAGAGATACACGAAATTATCCGCTGGCGACGATGAGATTTGAGAGGGTAGATAGCTTTGAAGGGAAACCAGGAATGTCTGTTGGGGCTGGACGAAACTTGGGTGAATAAAGGATAATCCGTTGGTAGAACATGACAGGATAAAAATTTAAAAAGCTCGTGGCATATTTTTATGGAAGGATGGCTCACTGGAAGAATATAAGCAAAAGTGGCTTTGTCGGTGGTGGCTTACTAGAATTTCAATCACAACGGACTGGAGACTATCATGAAGACATGAATGATGTTTTTATAGACTACCTCCAACAAATACTACATAATACTGTCAGAACTCGAGAAAATCCGAAAAAATACTCACTCTTTTTTGGATGGACAAAATGACATCATTCATTGATTTTCTTTAAAAAAGAAGCAATTTCAGAAAGATATGTCGAGAAATGGCCTACTGGAGATTGTAAATTTAAATAAACCTCTTTGTACGAAATGGATGAAATCGCTTCAAAACGAAATACTTCGCCTTCCGCCATATCACTGTAAATTAAACCACATGGAATTGGTATGGGCGCAAGTAAAAGGGTTTGTAGCAAGTCACAAAAATGAAGGGATGTTGTCTTTATTCCTTCTTGCAAGAGGAAAACCAAAGAATGCTTCTTATATATAGGTTTCTGTTTACTTGATCTTAGAATAAAGAAACGCCGCAGTTATATTACTTTCATTTACTAAACTCGTCTTTCTATTGGACGTAAATTAGAGTGACCCAAATTTTGGAACGATTCGAGGTGTGTAGGTCTTAAAAATTGAAATACGGAATTTTTAAAAACTATCATTGCGATTGATCGGAACTTTACGATATAACCCTGTTTATGATCCCCGTCATTACATCTCGAGTTAAGAAACATAGTACAGTTACTAAATATCGTATAGGCAAACTGAATGGGAAACATTATTGTTCAAAAATATTCGTATGGTATGGTCTGTTCATAGATATAAGAAAGTGACCAATTGGTTTTGAATGGGAATATCCAAGGGTGGTCATTAAAATACGATACAACAAGATTATTACCTAAAGTTTTGTGGTCCGTTATAGAAAATAATTTTATACCTACCTGTGCTTAATATTCTTTGGTTTGATATACTACTTAGTTTAAGTAATCATTCTTATTTTGTAATACAGCGCGTGTTGAATCGTGTGCTAATTATGCAAATTATGTGCGATTTTAGTGTATATCAGGAGACGCTCCCGCCCAAATGTAGAAAACACTATTGTATTGAGACTACGGAAGTTATAAACAATGTTTATTTGACTCTCATTGAACGTGGTGGCAGCAAGCAAGAATCTTTAGAAGAAACGGCCGCATTGACGAAAATTCCAACATCAACTGTATGGAAAATTGTGAATAATCCCATTTCAGCGAGGAAAAAAAGAAGCGATGCTGACATTTTCTCGAGTGTAGATGAAAGCGATCTAGATATAATACGGCGTAAAATTTACCAGTTATACGAGGAACAAAGCGTGGCTACATTAGATATCTTAATTAGGAGGCTTGAAAAAGATGAAACCGGTGTTAAATGTGGCAGAACTACCTTATGGAAGTGTATTCAACACATCTTTTAGAATTCGGAAATGGCGACTGGAATATCTAAAAAAAATTAGGATTTACAGAGAATAACAAAGGCCAATTATTTACTTGGATGAAACCTGGTTCGACACTTATTATACCCCGGAAAAGGGTTGGTTTGACTCAAATGTGTAAAACAAACGCGCCATCAAAAAGAGGTGAAAGAATAAGTATTTTGCATGCTGGCTCTAAAGATCGTTGGATTCCAAATGGACTTTCTCTGTCTGCGAAAAATATTAAAGATTCTTCTCTGGATTACGATGAAGACACGAAGTTGGTTTAAAAACAAACTAGTTCCAAACATTTCTCCTAATAGCGTCAATTATAATGGATAATGCAAGTTATCACAGTAGACAGTTGACTAAAACCACTTTCTCATGTGACACAAAAGCAACAATCCAAAACTACATGTATTATAACGACATTTATTTTCACGAAGATTATACTAAAAACAATTAATTGAGGTTCTACAAAGCTTGAACCTACAAAAAGAATACGTCTGTGATAATTCCACCTTACCACTGTATATTTAATCCCAAATAATTAAATTGTAAGCAAAGTACGGACCTTTTCGGCCATATTTCAGTCTTACAGATTGTTCGGGTCTTTCCTTAATTCGTATCAATTATCAATTAGTCACTTTCTTATATCTATGAACAGACTTTACCTTAAATTATGTACCGCTTCTATAGCATAATAGCGATTCATGCTGTTGACTTGTTTGGTGGACTACTTATCCCCACTCGAAGGCCATAATCTCCATTTATCTCCATTTATATCTCCATTTATATATCCTTTCGGCTTATATACTTCGACTTAGAAACATTTCGTGTGTAATAACTTTTTTTTTGAGCAGCGATAATAATCGATTTTTGAAATTGTTCGGAAACAATAACAGATATTTAAATGAACTTGAATAGGCGTTTAAACAAGAACTATCGAACATCGCAACAGACGCTCTAGGAATATCCCAAAACGTTC